AGGCAACGCTGGCATGGCCGGGTGCTGCTACATGTAGTATTATTATAAAACGTGACTTAGTGAAGTAACATAGTTTAGTTAGTCTTTGCCGTGACGCATGGTGACGTGACCCAGTCTTGACCTACACAGGCTAGAGCATGATAGCGCTGCATAATAATAATGCTTGTGGCTCAATGTAGCTGAACCATCGGACCTTATTTGTCAGCTTGGATCACGTGATCCATCCAGCTGCCGCGTGCGGCAAACAGCCCAAATAGCGCTAACTCTGGCCCGCGACTAGCGCGCTAGCGCTCTTGACATACACAAACGCGCTAGCCAGAATGCTTTGACTTTGATGGCTTTCAAGTTTCAGCTTCTATTTTTTGAAAAGTAGCGCGCTCAGACCAGCTCGCTCACTCTTTTCCTCTTCCATTTTTTAGGGCAATTGTTTTGTTTGATAGACGAAGCTTAGGGTCTCTTTGGGTTTGCAACCCTTACCCTCCTGGAAAAATCATAGTTGTGCTAGACTGCGACACTTCAGACCAGGTACTAATAGAGCCGCTAATGGACGACGAGCTATTTTCCGCTATCCGGAGCTCAAGCATTTGAGCCGCTAAATGGACGAGACTCCTGGGGTAAAGGATGCAGAGAATGAGGAGAAAACACTCGTATGGAACAGGGAGTAGGTATTGTACTACTTCCTGATATGGAGCACTGAGAAGCGGTAAGTCTTAGGGCAATTCTTAGCCAGTAATTACTTTCTCGCCATAATTATGTTCTCGTTTTTCGTGTCTTCTGTAATGCCAGTACACTAGCAGTACGACTACACTGTAGGCGAGAGTCCATAAGCCAGAGTGTGCAGCTCTCCATCTATGCAGCATAAACAAATTAAAGGGAAACTGAACGCCAAAAATAAGTATGGCTTATCCGAAGGAGAATTGGGCACTGATTCCGATGAGCTATGTCTCGAGCCGATCAGAGAAGAGGAACTGTGTCAAATTTCATAAATAACACCTCCCATATTTGGAAATTGGCCTTGATGACGTGCGTACTGCTTAGCTGTCACCATGCTGTGCATGTTCAGCAGTGTAATTGAATGGAAGAAAACAATTACTTTGGTGTTTTGCAGCTCTGTTTCGTTCCCTGACGGTAACCAAATCTAGATGTAGGAATCTGTTGAGCAGGAGAGTGACACATGTCTTCCCGAAGGCTGTCCAGGCTGCAGTGGTGATGAAGAAGACACGATCATCACCCCGAGATCGATCGTAGCGAATTGGAAAACTCATGGTGAATTTGCTTCCACTCCAATGTCGAGGTATGAAGGGTGCTTGTACTGCCTTCCAAAGTGAAGAGGAGATGAACATGGCTTTGCATAGCTGTTGTTCTATGCCAACTTACCTACTCTTGCTGGTACCGTAGTGGCATATTGCAAATTTCGTGGACGAACAACTCTAGTCACTAGTGGCTAGTGAGCAACACTAACAGGTGAGATTTTTCAATTCGACAAAAATTGTTTTTGTTTGAGAACTGACAGTGGCAGTCATTAGACTCAGTAGGTGTCTCTCTGCTGCTTCTTTCCCTTCATTCGTAGGGTTGTGCTTGAATAGTACAAGTGCTTGAAGTAAAATAAAATAAATAGAACATGTGGAACATAAATCTCATCAAGCATCAGTACATGTATTGCGAAGTTCAACTTCAAAGCACATGAAATCACAATGATCACGAAGTTTATGTAATCAGGAGTACACCCTGTGTTCAACGAACACATAAACACATGCTGTATTGCGCACGCACATGTACACATGTGCGTGCAGCCCCACCCCATCCCACAGACACACGCATGCAGCGCGCACATCCATACACATGTGCGTGTACCCCCCCCCCCCACACACACACATTCCTACCCATACACATGTGCGTCCCCCCCCCCACACACACACGTGTGCACATACAGATACACAAACACACACGCACGAACACACACACACACACAAGATACGTGTAAGTGTACATGGTCTTCCTGGTGCAGATGCTGAGCCAGCACAATGGAAAATACCTCCATCAAGATGCTTGATCAAGTGTTGTGATAATGGCACTGTTTGTTTGTTTTTACAAAGAAGTGTGGGAAAGATTACAATGCATTATACTTGTAATTCATAATTGTTCTTTGCCTTGTACTGTGCAGACCAGAATGCTTCGCTATCAACTCCTGGCTTTCCATCGGCATGGTGTTCAGCTGCAGCGGCATCTGGTCCGGGGAGTTCAAGTTGCTGGATGGCTGCACTGACACAGGATGGGTTTGCGTTGGCAATGCGATACGGCAGTCATCCCACATCACGAGCTACATGTTTATGTAATTTATATTGTCGCTCGTCCAGCAACGTCAAGGCTCTGCATGTAAACACAGGAGAACACCATAATACTACTCAGGGGATAATAATTTTGGATATCAATTTCGTGACAATTATTAGATTCACACAATATTCACAACGTATGCAACACGATGCTGTCTATTGACACTACTTCAAACTGAAGTGCTCACTACTCCTCTCCCGTTTTCATCTCCCTCTACCTTATGAATACTCTGCATTACTGGTTTTGTTTCTACCCTTTCCATTGCTGCCAGCTCCCAGTCTTTTTCAATGCACAGCACCACCTTGACAGTCATTTTTGTGATTTGATGTACACATACGCTGAAGTTCAAATTCGAATTGCATGATCAGATTTTTGTTCCACATTTTCTATTTATTTTTACTTCAAGCACAACCCTACCGATGAAGGGAAAGAAGCAGCAGAGAGACACCTACTGAGTCTAATGACTGCCACTGTCAGTTCTCAAACAAAAACAATTTTTGTCGAATTGAAAAATCTCACCTGTCAGTGTTGCTCACTAGCCACTAGTGACTAGAGTTGTTCGTCCACGAAATTTGCAATATGCCACTACGGTACCAGCAAGAGTAGGTAAGTTGGCATAGAACAACAGCTATGCAAAGCCATGTTCATCTCCTCTTCACTTTGGAAGGCAGTACAAGCACCCTTCATACCTCGACATTGGAGTGGAAGCAAATTCACCATGAGTTTTCCAATTCGCTACGATCGATCTCGGGGTGATGATCGTGTCTTCTTCATCACCACTGCAGCCTGGACAGCCTTCGGGAAGACATGTGTCACTCTCCTGCTCAACAGATTCCTACATCTAGATTTGGTTACCGTCAGGGAACGAAACAGAGCTGCAAAACACCAAAGTAATTGTTTTCTTCCATTCAATTACACTGCTGAACATGCACAGCATGGTGACAGCTAAGCAGTACGCACGTCATCAAGGCCAATTTCCAAATATGGGAGGTGTTATTTATGAAATTTGACACAGTTCCTCTTCTCTGATCGGCTCGAGACATAGCTCATCGGAATCAGTGCCCAATTCTCCTTCGGATAAGCCATACTTATTTTTGGCGTTCAGTTTCCCTTTAATGACAAATTTCCTTTGCCTAAGGGCTGGGTTCCACTGCCGCTCCGCCGCACATCATCCACGGCATGAAACGTCATCATTATGAGCTGGTCCAGCGAGGCCGCGGCTCATCACCAGCTTTCGCTTCGCTGCTTGATACAAAAAAATGCAAGCCACGGTCACGGCTTGCATTGTTTCCCGCACTTAATTGTTTTATTCGGGGGAATTTTAATTCGTTGCACAGGCCAGAACACGAGGATTTTTTTGGATTTCACGCGCGCGCAGGCAGGCTAAATGTCATAAAAAAAACGTCGAGCACGATCGCGGTACCGTGAATGGCGAGTGTCACTGGAACCGCGCCGCTCTGCTGCATGCAGCCAAGTACCGTGGAGCAGCGGAGCTGCGGAGCCGCAGTGGAACCCGGCCCTAACCAAACTTATAGCAATTTGAAAATGTTTGACAATTTTTCATAAAAAACTTGACAACATTGTTCTTCTGTAGAGTGCCGCTGGCAACTCCATCGATGAACTCCATCAATGAGCGCAGGGATAAAGTTTAGAAACCCTTCGAGCGAGAACGTGTTTTCAAAAAGGAAGCACAAATATGCCGCGTAACTTCCCCTCTAGTACTGTATGGCCCCATCAAAGCCACTCGCTGACTACTTACCAGTAAAATGGGGTTGGACGGTTGTCAGATTAGCTGACATGTTTTCTGCCAACACAACCATAAGCAGTTGTCAACTCTCAAGACTAAAAGAGCTTGCGAAGAAAGTGAGAAACCTTGGCTATGAAAGCACATGAAGCGTCAGAACATAATCGAGCAAACTTGGACCTAGATTACCAGTGTCTGCTCCAGAGCCGGGTCAGTGGCCCTGTTTGTGAGTACTTGGACCTTTTGGAAAAAGAACACTGGGTTACCTGCGACCCGGTCGGGAGTCCTGTCGAGTACTATACTTTTTTATACCGTTCGAGGGTATACCGCCACTGACAGGCTGCATACGCGTGCAGATGCGTGCGGCCAGAGTGCCCAGTGCGAGTACGTTCATACATGTACATGTACAATCATGTACATCAGGAAGTCGAAAGTAAGTTTACGACTCCCTGACACACAGTAGCCGCACTTGAATGCATCTGGCTCTGGCCCAGTGTTGCAGGAATTGTGCCAGGTAGACGTGTACCCGGTTTGTGTTAAATCTTAGAGCAGGTACTGCATACCCTATCATATCTGTGTACATGGGTAGACAGAGTCAGTGTTGTTGCGTCCCACTCAGTACCCTTCTGGTTCATTTCGGCACCAGCACTCTTTGCGTATGCAGAGTTGAGTAGAGTGCAAGTTGGGACCACAAGTACACTGCAGCGGCTAGTAGCAAACCTAACCTGTGCCGTGATGCCCGGCACGTGTGTGCATCTACTTCATCCCTGAGTAACACACCTGGTATATTGTGCACAATAGGGCACAGTAAATAATCAGCATGCATCGCAGTTTTCTGCAACATATTCCTGAAGTCACTTTACACCTCAGAAGGATTGCGTCGCTGACTGGAATTCGATACCGGTTTAGTTTCTCTCTGGGTCATTATCAATCATAGAAAACCCGTCATACAATAGGTTCAAGCTAAAGTACCGTATCACCATGGTAATTACCTGGAAATTCGGTGTGTTTTCTACGTTTTTGTTAAACAAGCAGCAATGTGCAACAGAAATTACCATGGTGATAGAGTAGATGACCGTGTGAAGCGGTGTGAGATGCAGCAAAGGTGAGCCTGTTACTGCGAGTCTATGCCCTAAACAATAAACTTTGCCGTGGGATGATTCTCTTTGGGCTGCACACTCTGGTTAATGTACTCTTGGTGGCAGCATTCTGGTGCCAAAGATGATATTTTTTCAGAAAAATAAGCACTAGAGAAATGGAGTGGGAGTAACCTGAATTATTCTATTAGCAGAGCTGCAATACTTGGGATATGAGATTATTCCCGTAGCTATGCAAAAGACGCTATTCAGTTGTACTTTAGTAGCATCTGGCGCTAGCCAGTATCCACACCGCTGTAATTCGGTGCGTGTCACGGTGTCTGGTAGGGTGGTTCACGTGGCATGCCATGGTTGGTGCAGTATCCCGTATGTGTCCCGTACCGTAATTCGAGTATGCGGTGCGCACCGTAGCATAGATGTATCTGGAGCGCTGTACGAGCTAAGATGTCGGGGCAAATATGGGGACATTCACAACATGCAATGTGAATATGCACGTCAGTTTCGTTTTAAGAAGTGGGTTTGACGGAGTAAGAAAAGGCCCCAGCTTTGGCTGCTGCATGCTAGCCCAGTGGGTACCAATCTCCTGCCATCGGCCGAGTGCTGATGGAACGGAGTAGAAGAAAGAGAAAGAAGAATATTGCGTTCAAGAATACAATTTCGGTAAGGGATATACAGTAAAACCTGTAACTAAAGACCACTGTCACTAGCGACCAGCCTGGTACTACCAACCACTTCGCCAGGCACGGAAGGTCTCACATTCAAAATGCACTGTGACTAGCGACTACCTTCTGAACGCGACCAGCGACCGCCTTTTCCTGTCCCAAACACAATTTTTGACCCGTAACTAGCGACCGCGATGTAGGAAATCAAATGTTGCTCGAAGCTCCTTCTTGAAATTTTACTGATTTTCCATGGTCCTGAAAAGAATCTTTCGATACTACAGCTGAACAAATGAATGCAGGTAATTTTGGCTGTGGAGTCGGTGTGGACTGCACTACACCTGTCAAAATTTCAAGCGCTGTCAAGAAAAAAGATGATAGGAAACGTCTTGGAGAGCGCATCGAAAGCGCTCTCTGATCGATGTTACTACTCGGAGCAGAAACGAAGACTGGGTGGCTCTGTCACACCAGTCATACAGACGGATTGACGATGGCATCAAGGAATCCAGAAACAAAGCAGCACCACAAGGTCCTGATGCTGAAGGATCGCGTTCAAGCAATCCAGAAGTCACAACAAGGACAGTCGGTATGATTGATCGCATGAACAAATTTGAAGCCCAGCGCGAAACGAAACTTCCCCAGGGAACGTTTGACTCCTGGCTTCAGAAGTAGCAGCTGAATTTGAAGTCTGCAAAAAATTAATCTTCTCTCTCTCTCTCTCTCTCTCCATCTCTCCGTCTTTCTGACATTGCGCAAGTCCTGGGGAATCGTATTAGCTGCATTTTGACATACATATCATATAATGGGATCCACATATGGTCACGCGGTGTGTAGTGTTCACGTGTTCCTACGCGCTGTGGCATTCCTTGGCCACTCCAGACATTCATGATGCATGTAGTAGTAGTAGTACATCGTGATGTTATGCATGTAGCATGTGCCGTTTCCCGCGCGCGCGTGAAACGGACTTCGCGGCTTTAGTTGCTGTGCATGGTTTGACTCTGGACTCTTGTTGTTTTGGACTGAAGAAGAAACAATACTACACGGTGCAAACCTCTAACTAAAGACCACCTGCTACTAAAGACCGCTTTTGCTGGCACCAAGGGGTGGTCGGTAGTCACAGGTTTTACTGTACCGGTAAGTGGATAGCTAACTAAAATAATTAGCCGTATGGTTTAGAAATAGTGGTGGCGACTCTGGATGGCAGTCGTGAGTCCGTCAAGTGTCAAGTCGACGGAATAGCGCTAGCTCCAGTGTGGGGAGCAAACCCATTCCTAGGTTAGCATCCCCCCCACCTCACAACAGAGCAACCGAGTTTTGGATTAAGCTGGGAGTGCCGATTCGAGCAACTGGTATGATGGCTCTGCTTGGAGCCACTAGATGGCTCGCAGCTGAGCCGGCAAATGACTCTGCTTGGAGCCGGCAAATTACTCCGCATGGAGCCACCGAATGACTTCGCATGGAGCCGCCGAATGACCCCGCATGGAGCCGCCGAATGACCCCGCATGGAGCCCCAAATTGACTCCGCATGGAGCCGCCAATGACTCCGCATGGAGCCGCCAATGACTCCGCATGGAGCCGCCAATGACTGCATGGAGCCGCCAATGACTCTGAGTAGAGCCTCCAAATGCTAAATATATTGGTATGCATAACCAGTTGAGAGCATATATTCCATAAATCGGCACTCCCGGAGCGGATCACAAAGTGCAGCTACCCGTGCAATCTGTAAGCGGTGCAAGCTAGGTAAAGACTGTCAGAACTTGATATCATGGGCTGAGGCCATTGCCGCAGCCACCCATACTTTGGCTGCAGGTGGCGTCCGAATGTTACTCGGGCAGACATCGCTTTCCACCTTCCCGCCTCTCTGAATATCGAGTCCCGCAGCTGATTCGAAACGAGTGGCCGGTGTACAACGCCAGGCCAAAGCCACAACTGATGAGCAATATCCTCGCAGTTGCTGTAAATGCCCATCGATTGGCATTCGCAGCTGATGCCGCTAGTTTTCCCAGGTGCTGCGGGCTGCCACAATTGCAAACAACCCTTTGCGATTGCTGCTCTGCTTGATTGACTGTCCATCGCCCTATCCCCGGTCGCAATTGTACGAGCACCGGCCAAGTGCACCACTTGCATCAGTGAATACCAGCAAGTCGGGGGACGGCGTCCATTTAGGGTATAGGAAGAAGGACCGGCCGTTCCGCTAATCCAGGAGCTCAGGCCATCAGCGAAGATCTTTGAGGCACTCTTTGGAGAGCTTGATCAGGTAACACGGCTGCCGGTACCAGTTGGCAAGTGACCACAATCTGCAATTTGCATCCAGGGGCTATCACTCTTGTAGCAAACGGGAGCTTTCCCAGAAGAGACTCGAGTTGACATTGGGTAGTTGAAGCTGTGTGAAGAGTGGCCCGAAGGAGATCACGAAGCTCGGCAAGTGTTCGTCCATAGGCATACTGATGTTAGCGCGGCGGGTGTCCAGGATGACGCCGATAAACATCAGGACGTGGGCTGGACCCTCCACTTTTGCTGACGCCAGAGAAAACACCGAGGTATGTAAACGCGCGGCGCCGAGTAGCGAGTTGCTGGCGAGCTAACACAGGTCCAGAGCATGCATTGAGGAAGCACTTTTACTGACGCCAGAGAAACACCGAGGTATGTAAACGCGCGGCGCCGAGTAGCGAGTTGCTGGCGAGCTAACACAAGTTCAGAGCAGGCATGGAGACAGAAACGTTAGTCGAGGCACTCCCCGTAATAGGATGATGCCAATAACGTCAGGACTTGAGCTGGACCCTCCACTTTTGCTGGGGCCAGAGAAACATCGAAGTATGTAAATGCTCGGAGCAGAATAGCGAATTGCTGGCAAGCTAACACAAGTCCAGAGCATGCACTGAGGAAGGAACGTTAGTTGAGGTATTCCCCGTAATGCAATAGGCGTGTGAGTGCGAACTGCTAGCACATAATCCATTCACTGGCGGATGCGACAGAGTTCCATATAGCTGGACTGGAGCGTAATACAGTCTGAAGGGCAGGGCACTCTCATAAAAGTATTGATCCTGCCAGCGGATCGACAAGGACCAATCCTCCGGGCGGACGGGAATTCGGCAGAATGCACTTTTAACATTGAGCTTAGCAAGATACACCGGGGCGAGCACAATTGTGGAGGAAATTGTTTGGGAACGCATGTTCCGCAAGTTGCATGCTCGAAAGTCGAAAACAGCAATGACATGCAAGAGACATTGTACAGGATCTTGGAGGGCGCATGACCATGTGACTCGCGCATGCGTGCAGGTCGGGCCAGCTCGCTGGACTGCCTGCTAACTTGCGTTAGCATGCTAACGCTCATTATGGTTTAGATCGCATTATTGTAATGGTTGCGGTTTGATTTCAAAAGACCATAGAACGTGTCGTACTATCGGTCGAAAGTTTAGGGGTGTGGTACTAATGGGCTGGGAATGTAAGGATCGGGTAGATTGCAGTGTTTTAATGGTCGTAGTTGTTGTATAAATAGAATGCTGAGATAATTAGAAGAGGACTATGAGGAGGAGCAAAATGACAGGGGTGACAGTGTTAAAGCTCTGAGCAGACGGCGTCGGCAGGAGTGCCTACACAGAGAGTAGAAGAAGGGAGAAGAGAGGTCCCGCCGCCTCGAGAGTCGCTGTGCTTGCGAAAGGCTATGCCAACAGCAAGAAACGACGGAGCAAATATCCCGTCGTTTGGAGACTCACCGCCTTCGTGACAAGACGCGTTGACAGCTAGAGACCGCTGCACAGGCATCCATTCAGCAGGAGAAAATACATGCTCTCATGCTCGAACTTGTTCGGTGTGCGGGGCCATCATCATGTTACGCACCAGCCTGGCCCTATTCCGTTGATGTTCCGTACCATTCTGGCAAAGACTGCTGGCCACATGTTGAAACAGGGCTTGAAAAAAATGAAATAAGTTAGTACCAAAGCGTAAGCTATTATTATATTTACTTTTACTTGGTAGAATGTACCTGTCTGAGAGTTTGAGTTTTGAGTTATGTATCGATGTGCGTTTATGAACTAAAGTTTTGATTGTCATGCACATGTTTTTGTATTGCAAAGACGTTTCTATCAGTTCGAACAACACACATGATGACCTAGGCAAATATTAAGCATAGCGAGGGCTCCTGGGCGGTCAAGCCCTCTGTAGCCTTTAAGCCCAAGCACTCTTTATTTGTGCGATATCGAAATGAAAAACTAAATGATATAACAACGATGAACAATTTATTTCAGCCAAGTACAAGTGGGGTCTATTGGTATCCTTTATTTCAGCCGAATAAAACTGTTGTTTATTCCTATCGCATAATGCATGATAACCTAGGCAAAAAAGATAGTGAGGGCCCTGAGCTTTCAACTGAGCTCTCTCGTTGGAATTATTAATATGGAGGTGTATGTGCCAATTTTTCACGTAGGATTGCCTGCGACTTGCAGCACTGCATTGCCTTCTGCAACTTGGGGGAAGCTGCGTGCTCAGGCCCGTAGCAGCTCAATTCTGGTTGGTCCAGCGAGACCTGACTTCCACAACTTTGCGTGCTTTTCTTGTGACGGGCATATACATGGTACAAAGTATGTGTGTATGTGTGTGTGTGTCCGTGTGTGTCTGTGTGTGTGTGTGTGTGTGTGTGTGTTGGCGTTCCTCTGGAGCAGCTTGGTGACATCGTCCAAGATCGACAGGGATGGCGGGTCACCTGCCGTGACGCTGTCGACGCTATTGTCCAGTCCCGCATGGAGCCTGTGGCGAAGCCCCTCATTTGTGGCACTTGTGCGCGCAGTTTTCGTCGGCCACAGGATATTGCGACGCACAAGTGTAAAGCTGTTCGCGCGGCCCGCGCGCGCTGAGTATGGCGTTCCCCGCCCGGTGGACAACACGTCTCCTGGTCTGCCCCGTATGGGGCCACATAGCCAGTCATGGCAGTGGAAGAAGGAAGGAAGGTGTGTGTGTGTGTGTGTGTGTGTGTGTGTGTGTGTGTATGTGTGTGTCCCATATGGTGCAGTGGTATGTGCAGTCGATTTCCAATCGAGAGGTTGCGGGTTCAATTCCCGACGATTATGGTCGCATACGTCTTTCTTCTCTTTCTCGGACTCTTCCTGACTTTTCTTTCATTCTCCTGGGTGGTTACCAACAGCCAGTGTATGCCGGAGTATGTGGTGTGGTGTGTGTGTGTAGAAAAAAAGAAAAAATGAAAAATAGGGATTCACTGGCCAGAAAAAGTCACTTCAAACAGCTGTGTGGTGGATACCAGGCTAAAAATAGTGGCGGTCAATTCATCAGCCTTGCAAGCTGTTGAATGGTGTAATCCCAGCACAAGTTGCTATGTCTAACATAGCTGTTCGCTATCATCGCTTCCGCGATGGGCATGTCTGAGGTCTGAGGTGTGTGTATGTATGTATGTGTATATGTGTGTGTGTGTGTGTGCATGCATGTGTGTGTGTGTGTGTGTGTGTGTGCGTGCGTGCGTGCGTGTGTGTGTGTGTGCGTGTGCCCCCCCCCCCCCCAAACCAAAATCATGGTTTCTGGCCCCCACCTCTAACGACGATCTAGAGCCGCTCGCGACTCGAACCATGGAGATTGCCCATGTGTCGTCTTTTCGTTACCTTGGATCCAACATACACAGCAACGGCCGATGTCATGATGATGTTACATCCCGGATCTCTGTCTTTTCTCCTTCTGTCTGTCTGTCTGTCTGTCTGTCTGTCTGTCTGTCTGTCAGTCTGTCTGTCTGTCTGTCTGTCTCTGTGTGTTTGTGTGTGTGTGTGTGTGTCTCTCTCTCTCTCTCTCTCTCTCTCTCTCTCTCTCTCTCTCTCTCTCTCTCTCTCTCTCTCTCTCTCTCTCTCTCTCTCTCTCTCTCTCTCTCTCTCTCTCTCTCTCTCTCTCTCTCTCTCTCTCTCTCTCTCTTTACCCCGCTCTCTCTCTCTGTGTCAATATACAGCTTTCACTGTCCAGGAGCGACACTGACTCGCACTGCTATCTGGTGCTCACTAGGTGTTTGTCGCGCTGCAAACGGAGCGTCTCTGTAAGTTTGTATCCCTGGTGATGTTTGGACCTGGAGAGCACTATATAAATGGTGCTTCTCAGGCACAATCTTCCTCAGCCTACTCAAACTCGACTGACGAGGGTAAATTTTCCCGAAACACTGTGTATTGAGCAGGGAGTGGTCCCTTCTTGCAGGTTTTCCGAGTGGAAGGTTGGATGGACTTTTCGTGTGCTCTGGGTGGCAGCTGTCAGTCAGTCAAGTGTAAAGTCAAGGCGGCGGAATAGCGTGAGCTCCAGTGTCGAGAGCAAACCCTTTCCTAACAATCTTCGCCGAAGTCGCAACCACTATTTCGTAGGTCTACCCTTGTTAGGAGACAACCCTGGGGGTATCAACTTTTTTTGTCTGATAACGAGTACATTTTTCTGCTGCTTTGCATCATCCATATTGTGTCCACATCAGAACTGATGGTTCCTTGTTATTAGACAGTGTTTTCCACCAGACCCCTGTACAAGACAACCCATTATCAGACAATGTTTCATCGGACCCCGATACAAGACAACATGAAATATCAATCGAGCTATCCTCGGCCATCCGCTTTTTCTTGTAATGAGAATTCAAACCTGTGGGACAGCTGGAGGGGACGTTATAACGAATTTGGTCTACAAACGAATAATCTCTTATCCGGACTTGCATGTACGACTGCTAATGATTCATGGGATTTTGGATCGTTGTCTACTTATGAGGTTTGACTTGCAACCGATGTCATACTAACGAGGGTAGGACTGTAAATTAAATGCTTGAAAGTTGAAACTTCGTTTTTCAGATGAATCAGACTGCAAATCAATAGCATAGCAAAGACCATAGCTATCCCAGGAACACTTGAGTAGTGCCCTCTTTTACCTTTTTCTATGTTGTCCTCTTCAGTTTGAGCAGGTATGGATGTTTCCTAGTGCCTTCTAGAATTTCTAGGTATATCATTGGTCTTGTTCGGATCGTCCATTACGTTTGCAGCTGTTCAAACTTGTATTGTTGTTTATTATTTTATTGATTTATTTATTCTACTACTTTCCTATCTTCTTGTGTTTTAGCATTAGGCGATTTGATCGCAGGACGAGAGAGGAGCTGATGGACGATCTCTCCAATGTTCCACTTGGTTCGGAGCGGCGCCGAGTGCTGACGTTGGGACTTGGGTAAGGATGAGTGTTCCCTCATGTTTACAAGTTATCCGTTTTGTCCAACACTAACGGTTATATGCAGAATACTGTTGAGTCAAAAATGTGCAACAATCAGCACAAAAACTGACTGATGAGATCATGACATTCAACGACCTGATGCTTAGCTGCATCACGTTTATACCCGTTAGTGTTGGAAAAAACGGATACCTCGTAAACTTATGGTCCTCTTTTTTAATTTTAATCCTTGGCTCTTCATCCGAGTTCCCTCATGTGTTGCTATTATTTTTATTTACTTATTTTTTTGCCCAGGGTCTACATTCTACATTTATTTTACTTAGACTAGGGTTAGCTGTCCGTTTACCAGTACTCATCCACACATATGTGCACATAGGGTCTACACAGAACTCTATCAGTAGATATTTTTGTATAGGAGGTTGTCTATCCTCCGGGATAGCACTATATACTCCCATTCTGTGTGTTCTCTGGTAGCTATGTTCCTTGGAGACCATATGACTGTGCCAGTGTGGTGACCGAGGTGAGGTGTGTCTGCACTGGCATCGTCAACTTGCCTACTGCTACGTGCTCCCCAGTGCTCCATCTGCGTCCTGTACTTTATTTGGGGGGGGAGGGGCAATACCGGTACTTCAGGTGCAGGGGGCAAGGGGGATGGGGTGGGGGACATCATGCCCCCAATGAACCTCTCCAGGCGTTGTTCTGGAGTAGACTAACCATAGGCGGAGTGTACACATGCAGCACATAGTTTGGGAATTAGAACGCGATCAGACTCAGGCATATTCAAAGGCAGTCTATTGTGATAGTAGTCCTGGACGGATCTCACTATGATGATATAGGTCGTGCCCAGCATCACAATGCCCAACATTATAAATGACTGTTTTTTTTCCTGAGGGGCTAGATGAACATGTGGCTAGACTGCCGATGGCAACCAACAGGCTCAAGGCTGTGTTGAGACTTCGTGTTTGCGACCCGAGTCAATTGTTTACTCACCATGACTAGGCATCGCATCGGGCATCGTATGACCATTTTATATGTCACTGTTCTTAGTCGCACCGGGGGCGTATGCCCGTTTTCAGGAGACTTATCAAAACACATAAGCCCTGTGCCCTGAAGGTTAGGCCTATTGTTAGTCTGAATACTGAATAGTCCTGGCTACTATCCCACTAAGTTCATTGACTTTCTACTGAACCTGTATGTACGTGAGGAAAGTACTGTTCTGGCCTTAACTACGGATTTCATCAACTTGGTAGAAGGTTTGCCTGTGCGGGACGATCATTTATTTTTAGTATAGATGTGACCAGCCTTTACACCAGCATCCCCAACGAGCTCGGTCACGTGGCATTGTCGTGGTATATCACACACAGGTATACAAGGTGGATGCCCCCGGCCCTTCGTACACGGTTAACAACAGCAGTGACTTCCTTGATGTCAGTCATTCGGAAGACTAACGGGTTCGTGTAAGATAACGATTTGTTTCCGCAGATCCAAGGGACTGCCATGGGTTCGCCTGCAGCAGTGGTCTATGCCGACATTGTTATGCTGTATTTGGAGAATCGGTACATTTTGCCGATCTTAGAGGGGGAGGGTTTAGAGGTTCAGGTTTATAGACGCTTTATCAGTGACATTTTTGTTTCATTGCATGGTTGCGAAGGTCAAGTTCAGCGCGCTTTAGACAGGATTAATAAGTGTTCGGCCCTCGAGTTTGCGCATGAACTGGCACATGATGGCATTGATTTACTGGACACCACAGTTTTCCGTAGTAAGGGATACATGGCGGTGAAGCCTCATTTCAAGTTCACCAATCGTTTCCTGTATCTGCTTGCCGGTAGTAACCACCCCCGTAGTATGGGTAAAGGTGTGATCACTGGGGAGTTGATCCGTATCTGTCGGTCTTCGACCCTTGACCACCACTACGAAGCTGCTGCCGAGCAGGCGAAGCAGACTTTCCGGGCCCGTGTATACAAGAGCTCCATCTTTCATCTTTCAGACCGTACACCAGGCATGCAAGGCCGGCACAGCTGGGGTGGCTGGGGCGGCCTCAGCCGCCCCACTTTTTTGGCCGTTTTTTTTGTTCTTGTTTTTTTAGCACACTGCAACAAAGCGCGATGATCGCAACTCAGCTCAAACGTGGCAAATAATGAAGAATCCTTGTGTATCAAGGTCAAGGTGTGTGTGTGTGTGTGTGTGTGTGTGTGTGTGTGTGTGTGTGCCTGTGTGTGTGTGTGCCTGTGTGTGTACGTGCCTGTGTGTGTACGTGCCTGTGACGTGTACAGCCGGTGTGTGCACACCGCTAGCTAAACCGACCAACGGCTACTCCCAGGGCACAAACTATTCTGCTGGAGGCAGCGTCGTCTTCGGCTGAAATTCCGGATACAACCTGCAGGGAAGCATTGTGCGCATCTGCCAGATTGACGGTTCCTGGAGTGGGGCAGCTGCCTCATGTAATCGTAAGTTGAATTTCAAGAGAGCCGATATATCCCTCTTTTGTAGAGAAGCTTCAGGCTTGTAGGAAGGCAGATTCTGGTGGCGTTGATCTTTCCTATTTACAGAGCATGTAATAGTCTGGGTGTTACCTGCCACTTTTCATCATCACAAATGATGATCGTGCTTATCACAGGACCCAGGACCAGTCGGGCATCTCAGCCTGAGTCCTTAGGATATATGTTATACTTGTAGGTGTATGGTTAGGGTGTTTCACCGGGTAGAGGCGACGGTTTCAAATAGGACACAGGTTGCAAACCGGAACGGACTCAATATTCACTTTCTCTCTTGGTATTTTGATTAGAAAACATATGTCACAGTGAGACTACGATGTGTTATACTCCGAGCCAAAATTTCATGGCTCTGCGATGACCAGACGCGCCATACCAAGCAGGTGAGTTTTTGACGTGTTGCTTCGCACTGCGACTTGAGTTTTACGACTTTCGAAAAATCAACTTCTTGTCGCAGGTAAACAGCGGCTCGCCTCTTGCCAATAAAGCACCGCATACCAATCAAAACTAATGGAAGCACACACAAGGCTTATTGTTACTCTGTACTGGCTGTCGTGGAGCGATAGCAATTAGCTAATTTCAGACCCAAAGTGAATTTGACGTGCACTCTAAAACGTGTCCGGTTTGGAGCCACCTCTGATTTGAACTTTTTTGAAGCGAGAAATTGGGCAACTTGGAGGCAATGGGTCAACACAAAGGAGTGGCTCAGTTCGATTGACTCTGGCCCCAGAGCAAACTTCAACATGCCAGTTTCCTTCCACAAACATATTTCGAGTGAAAAATCAACGCTGATGATCGGTTTGGGTCTATACAAATTTGGCTGTCAAGACGTTCCGGTATCGAACCATCTACTCTACCAGAACACTGAGTTGTTGGCATAAGCCGGTAACTTTTGTCGAGCCTGTTTTAGGCTACCACCTCCTCCAAATATGCTAATATCTCTTGACTGTACAAAAGATGTGCCGAGCAGACACTTTCTTCATCTCTTGACTGCTTTGTGTGTTGTGTGTATGGGTACGTGTATCCAGCCATTCAACTGCAGTGCCAGTCTGGCTACCTGCCCTGCCTGCGTTCCAGCCTGTGGCTGTATCCTGCCATCACAGCGCTGCGACGGTGTTTGGTACGACTGTGCTGATGGCTCTGATGCACAGTACTGCCCAGGCAAGGTCACACCAGCTCCAGGTAAGCACCAGCAGCAGCACTGATAGTAGTACCATGACTTCTATTATTATTACAGGGTGCGACAGAGCTCTCGGCCATTGAAGAAAATGTTGAGTCACCTCCACCACCACACTGCGCTCTTTAGCCGACTAGACCCTCCTGCACACAACCATCATCATTGCGAGGACACTTCCGTAGACGATATTGATAAACTCCTTCAGACAGCTGTTTCGCTAATACATAGCTCATCAGTGAAGGTAGATATTGAATGATTAAAAATATAGACCAAACTGCTATTATATAGGGGGTTTCCACATACAAAACTGGCATAGCTGAGGTGATAACGCGGGAAAAGGAAAGTGTGAAGTACTGTAGACGCGCATTGGACATGCATGCAGCGTCGGATATTCGTCGCGGAAAATCAATCACTATTCAATGCAGAAATAACGTGCCAGAATCAGAGTACTATGTAGCTAGTAGTGAGAGTCTGTGTACTAGTATTGCAGTTGTCCGAGCGCCATGAAGGCCTGCGAACGCACCTCAAGACCCGCCGACGTCGACAGCCACAGCAGCCCCTGGGGCATGACACTGTACTGCTCGCCCGTCCCGCCAAGACGCTTGGCAGTCACTAGGCTTCATGCCACCGATGTTGTCCGCAAGCTACCTTGTTATCTGCCCATCACCCACTGCCGTTGACACGCTGGGAGGCCCCGCGGCATTCGCCCAGTATATCGTCGTCAGAGCTGTGTCGACGGTACAATAACGCTGGTAGAAACAAACAGTTGGTCGTATGATATTGCGTCCTCCGGATTGTCCCTTGACTCGTCTTGTCCCTCTTCTTGCTCTGACGCTAATGACTTCTATTACAAGCAAAATGTAGAGCTACTGTTGACCGCTATTCACTGCTGTATTTATTTTATTACTTTGCATGGCCATGTTGAGGCAGTCTTCGCATCAATTTCCTTTACACAATGCGTGTACTACAATGTATTCAAAACCAATGTCTGTGCCACGCACACATACGCAAACGTTTTAGGGATGAAACGAGTATATCGAATACTCGAGCGCTTGCTCGAAAATTCGAAAGGAGTGAGGACTCGTTTCGCAAAATACTCAAGTATCTTATGCACAGTGTACTGTATGCTTGTACATCAAGCACGTCTGTTACTCTGACCAGTACTGATAACCCATGCAAGTGTGAAATTATTACTTGTCCCTACTTACCAACAAAAGACGTAGTTCAGACTATTTCCTGCACTAGGCTGCATGCAAGACTACATGTGTCAGGTGTAATACGTTCAGTGTTACGAGAGTGTGTGCAGTACATTGTTTTATGTTGTCAGTAAAATACTCGTACTCGCTCGAATACTCGCTCGTTTTTTTCAAAGAGTACTCGAGTCCTCAATTTTGGCACTCGTTTCACCCCTAGGCCAAACATGCATGCACTGAATGCCTGTGCTCTGTGCTCTGTGCACTCTGTGCTTGTGCAGGTCAAACCGACTGCCAGGTCCTGTCACCACCGGCACTGGGCTCAATGACCGTGAACGGCTTGATGTTCAGCAACACGACCACGTTTGTGTGCAGTCTCCCTATGTCCTTATGGGTTCGGCCGTGTGTACTTGTGAAATCAACGGCCAGTGGAGCGGTGTGCAGCCAACTTGCGTCCGTAAGTACATGTACCAATGCTCGACTGGCTTGTATTATGCATTCCCGTTCATCACACCGCTCATACTGTCAAATGCTGCCTCTTTTCATTCACAATGGCATGGGTCACAGTAGATAGGCCTGGTGCAGGTATTGCCAGTTCCTTGCTTGCTGCAGTACAGTATGACATATTAACTTAGCTGGTAAGCAGTGCATGTGTGCATGGCAAGTGTTAATTTTGTCCATTGCTTCCCAACCCATGTGTAGTGACGACTGCTGCTCTGAGTGCGGCCAGTGACGAGCTAGTCAAGGACTCCGTCTCAGAACGCATGACACAAACGTGTAAGCCTAGTACTGTATATCACCTTATTTTCGGTGTTGTAAAATTTCGGTAAAAGCCAACCCCTGACCTTTCGGTGTAAGGATAAATTCGGTATGCATGGCACCAAAAACAAAAAAAAACAAAAAAACAAAAAACGCTCTTGCACTAATATTATTACAGAATACTAATATCTCCGCCAAGGCCAAAAGGCTCCACATATGTATACCGGTACATGTTATGTATGTACAATGTACTACCGGTATACCAGTACATATACAAGTTGATTTTTTTAATTTGACAGTGATTTTCATGATTTTTACATATTTTTGGTACATATTTTGGTATTTCGGAAAATTTAGGTGTACTGTTAAATTAGGTGATCCAGGACCAGTACCGAAGTTACCGAAATTTAAATTACACCGAAATAAAGGTGTTATACAGTATTGCTGCATAATTAAGAGCAATTTCTCCTACTGCTGACTGCTGAAAATGTTGTGTCCTTCACAACTAGTCTCTTTGTTCTAAGAAGTCTGCCTCTTTCATCGATTCGTGTTTACCTAGCTGCGTTACGCTATTAGTAGCCTATTACCTGTTGTGCAATGGGGCTGGCCTAAAAGCTGCTCGCTCAACAGTTGTGTTGCATGGCATAGAGGGAGATACGGCAAGCCACCTCGGCATATTTGCGGATAGAGCTTTTATTAGAAAGGAAAAGGACATATGGATACGAGTTAAGAGTAACTGTCCACCACTGTAACTAGCTACTACAGTAAAAAAATGCAACAACTAGGCACAAAACTGACAGAGTGCTGAGACATTCGACGACCTGACTCCTAGCTTCAACACATCTCCGTAGCGCTAACCAACAGCCTTCCAACTTGGAAGGTTCAAGGTTAAAAGGAGAGACCAAAGAGGGGAAGGTAAGCGCAACGAAAATGAGCACAAGCTAGTAGTTGAAGCTACAGTCCCACAAGAACAAGAAATGTTGATTGTTACTGGACGATGACGAAACCAGTATTACCTTTCCCTCTTTGGTCTCTCCTTAACACTACGGAGATGTGTTGAAGCCAGGAGTCGGGTCGTCAAATGTTTTAGTGCCTGGTTGTTGCACTTTCTGACTGTATTTAGTATATAGTGACAGTTACTCTACACTCATATCCATACGTCCTTTTCCTTTCTACATTAATTTTATTATTGCCATATTGGCTCAACATCCGAGTTTCAAAGAGCTTTTAGTGGACGACTTAATCCATTTTCGGCAATACTTACAACGATCCAATCAGTCATATTGTAGATCAGGCTATGCTGTGGGTAAGTATACTACTGGCCTTGTATGGCTTATTGTTTGCCAGCGAGTATTTAGCATCATCTACTAGTATTCACTCGTTTGACAGCCAAAGAGTATTTGTGTGGGAGGCTGGGAGTCTCGCACCTGACTTGGTCACGTTGCGCCTGAAGGTCACTAAGACGCGGCCATATACGGTGGAGTCGTCGCAGTTCCATCTACTGTCGACCAAACATGCCCGGTATTGGCTATTCCGGTACATGACAGCCCATGCCTGTAGCACCAAGCCTGTGTTCACTTTTGCCAAAGGGATCCACCTTACTCGGCCTTATTTAAATAAGATACTCTGTCACGCTCTCAACTGTTATCAGGTTAGCTCCTGCTCCATGCCCATTGTTGGAGCGACAGTCCTGGAGTCCAGAGTTGCAAGTGAGGTGGTGATACGGCAAGCAGACGGTCGCAAAGTATGGCTTAAAAGCTCTACATCTGGCAAGTGGCCGGCATACCACCCCAATGGACATCGGAACAGTACACGTAGAGTAGCATCTCTACGTGACAGGGTATGAGCGCAAGTGAGTTCTTATGCTCTACTAATGTGCATTGATACTGTGACTATAGTTGCAGGGAATTTTCTAGAACCGCCCCAACCGGTTTTCGACTGGTTGAAATAGTTGGCGACCGGTTGAAAAGTTACAAATCAGTTCCAACCGCCCGTACTTTTCTGTGGGTGAATGGAGCTGTGAATGGTCATACGCTTTTTTCTGGATGGATACTTCCAGCGAAGCCGCGTGGGCTGGTACTAGGGTCACGAGTTTGTACGGTTTGTACGGTCGAACCACGTCATCGAGCTGTAGCAACGGCGTTGCTACAGTCCAACAGCTCCGCGCGACACTCCAGCACCAAGAAATCTGTTAAATTGCTGTCGAGTGCCATATTTGGGTTGTATTTTGAAAACTATTTCCGGAGGGGGACCCCCCGACTCTTCATTGTACCGTAACCGGTTGGAAATTCGTCCTAGAATATACCCTGAGTTGGTGTACAGATCTCATCACATGAGCCTTAGGCGGGATTTCCTATTGTCACTGGAAAATTCAGCCCTAACAAACAGTGTGATGGATGAATTTGACTCCAGGTATCTGCTTTTGGGAATGCCATGTATGCATGTCTGGCGTGCTGCTGCTATAATGTTGTGGCAGCAGCATTTTGGTGCGATGGACTGTTCTTGTAACGGTGTACCTACCCATTTGCTGTTGCCGGATGCCGTGTTTTGTCAGTTGTGCCTGTTTGAAGGTGCCAGGCCAGCTTGTGTTGGCGCGTTCCCGTTAAGTTGCCAGGGCACCATATTTGTAACGGCGTTCCCGTTTTGCTGTTGTGGGGCTGTGTTTGTATCGGTGTGTTCCCGTTGAAGTTGACGGGGCACCACGTTAGTGGATTGTGCCTGTTTGAAGTTGCGAGGCCAATCCTGTAACGCACACCCGTTTGCTGATAATTGGGGACATGTTTGTCCATTTTGCTCGAGATTCACATGGCTGCGCCAGTTGCCTTGTGCGGATTAGACTGTTATCTGGCACTAGTCTTGATCTGTTTTATTCAGATTCAGATCAGCTATTGTTCCTATACGAGAAAATCTGTGGGTGCACATCCAATTCATTTGCAGATTTGCGTGCTTTTCCTGCAACGGGCGTTTACATGGTACATGGTGTGTGGGCGTATGTGTGGTGTGTTCATGCTGTACAGGCCAGTATTGCCAAGCACTGGGGACCTTTGGCAATCTGAAGAATGTTTTGTCCGAGAATCGATCCTTGGATCTGTGGCGTTGCAGTTGTGGTGCTCCCGACCCTCTTGCGCGATGGCCGCGGAGACCTAGCGAAAAGGTTCGAGACATACGGCATCTCAATATCTTCCACCACAATCAGTACATCAGCACCACCATCGAGTGTAGCGACATCAGCAATAGAAGACGCACATGATATCATCCACCCTTACGGCCTTAGCGAAGACCCGGGAATACCTGAGAAGATGTTAGCCGCAACTTTACTGGAAAAGTCGTCGGTGACAACGGCACTCCATATTTTAGCTCCATGCAGTTAGGTCTCTCAACAAGTGTACCCAAAGTTTTCAAGCTAATACACAAGCAAATTCACTAGGGGCCGAGTATATTTTCCTACACCTCTCCCTGTTTGTTGTTGTTATTTCTGCATTCAAATTGTTTGTGTACCTGTACATTTATTACAGTAGAGCCACGCATCCACAGCTGTTGTTTCCAAGGGGTCAGGCTCGTCAGTTATACAAAACCTTTCAGCAATCTGGCCTTAGGCTTAGTTCCTTGACTTTTTGTACCACTTTCTTAGATGCACATCCCACTGGATAGTGAGCAATACGTGTGTAGCAGAATCTGTATTCCAGAAAAGCAGAGACTCGAGTCTATTGACACTGCGTTTCTTTTTAAAACGTTATTGGCTGTGGTGTGTACCTAGAGGTATACACGTACATTCCTGGGTCCCACGTTCTGTGACGCCCGACTGTATTCGTGGTGCCTCAACAACTTTTAATTCTGTGCGCTCGGGAAAACCTGCCGGAGGCTGTGAGGCTGCAGAGTGTTGGCTGAGTTTTGCTTTAAAAAACCATCAGGTCTCCCCAGATTTTCTAGTCTGGCCCTGAATTTTGCCACTCTTCGGTTTCAAAACCTAGTGTGGTGGTGGAAAGCCTAGCAGTGTTGTGTGTGCATGTGTGTATTTTGTACAGTGCTGGCCAGAGAAATCCAACCTCGTTAATAAAGTAGCGCCGCGTTCGAGAGCACAGACCGGTCCAGTATGTTTACTACTAGGGCTGCGCAGCGCCCGGTGCAATTTTATTCATAAGGTTGGATTTCTTTGGCCAGCACTGTAGTTAGAAGTAGGTCCTCTAAGGTCCTCTGTTTGTGCGCAATTGTGGTCACAGTGGCAGTAGTGGGTGAGGGGTAGACTCAGTTACTACGAAGATGGTGTATACATGATGGTGTATACAGTCATGTAGTTGAAGGTTACTTCGGGCTTAGACCCAGAGGTTCTTGAAATGATGACTCCGGGTTTATGTACATGTATCATTCAGCTACCGTTGTCATAATGGCACTAGTTGATAGAACACCTGTATAAGTACAGGCTGTACATCTAGCATTTTCCAAAATAGCACTCCGTACTTCGAGGCTGCAGCCGTTTTGCATGCAACGTTGTATGTGTTGATCGGTTGACAGCATGTGACAAAGCCGAGGACATACTAGTGTATCAGGACCACTGTTTTTTAACACAGTGCGTCCCCCGCCTTGTCATGTTAATTTATCAAACAAGGCTTACCTATACCAACATTATACATGTAGGGCTGTGCATGCTTTCAAAATTCTTCCTTGTTGAAGTAGAATACCGTGCTTGTGGGGGCTTTAGTAGTTCCTTTGCCAGATGTTCTATGCGTATCTCAATGACTTATCAGTTTCAGCACTTGGGCAAGGCACATTCGGGCCTACACATGTAGCCTTGAATTCTGGCTTGGAGGCATTATTTATCTATTTTCATGGCTGCTAGGTTCATCCTTAGTTAAGAGTTATTTCTCCGTGATTCGCTAATGAGTCCACAAAGGACGAAACAGCTAGACAGTACTAGTGCTGTCCCCAGATCGTGTATTCTAAATCCATAATACTGACGCTCAATCTCCAGACAGCTGTTTCAGCCTTTTTTAGGTCCCATCAGTGGAGCTCAGAGCGGGAGGTTAAACAAATGGCAATACGGTCTATATGAAATGAACAAAAAAAGCAATTTGAAAATGGCTCAAAGCATCAAAGTCAGCGAGCTATCTGCAAGACACGCACAAAGAGAGCTTTGCACGAAGGCAGATACATATTACATATACCTTTGACACTAACCAAAAAGAGTGCTCAATCAAGTCAACGCAAGGCAGCGTAATGCGGTGATCGAGTCTATAAAAAGCTATAGTGACATGTAGCCAGGCCCCCAGCACAATAAGCTGACTTGCATCATGCTAAAATCGTTCACACAAATCTCTTATAATAATTATTATATAGATTGCAGGATAGGGTGGTTGCACCAGGAAGTGCTGTCTCTGCGATAGTGGGACCAGCCAAGATTGCAGTACAGTCGTCCACCATCAATCCAGCACTTCATTGGCCCACGCCCTCGATACACCAGCATGATTTCCGGAGTTATTACCATTCATTGATACATGCCCCCCCCCCACCCCCCAGTTCTTCGGCACCTGACCCGAGTTCTATTTGGGCCGCACTACTTTGTAGCAGTCATACTATAGTACTAGAACTGGATGCACGTGATATCCACTGGAGCTGGCGCTGGCCATGAGCTGACCCACCGCCGTGCCTCCCAGTGTCAATTTTGCTTATGTGATCCTACCACAATCTGGAACATTATCAGTACTTGCCTCTGTTGACTTGCCAGCACTAGTTCTGGTGGATCCGGGCATGTTTCTGCCTTCTCTTAAGCATGTATTCTCCTGCAGGTGCATCTTTCACCTCCTTCTAATGCGCGAGCACATTTTCTGTGGAGATTCAACGACACATAGACCAGAAAATACAGAACGGAACAGTGGCTGCCAATGCGACACAAGTACCACATAGACCTAAAAACTCATAAGTACCCTGGGAGTTAGATGCATTTACGGGCAGTATGCCAGGATTTGCGCAGCTAATTTAAAATCAGATTAGCAATGCTGTGTGCTACCTAGGTGGCATCTTGGACTCAAAAACCAACCGATTGTGGTCCAACCCAACCGACAGCGTTGTCGGTGGGTTCCGATTGGCAGGTGTTGGATGGACGTATGATCCATGCGTCCCCACAAGCAATGAGAAGTTAACAATGCCAATAAGGATATAATATCGCGGACAGCAGTACAATGAAACTGGGCCATTCATTATCAGCAATATCAGGGGTATATCCCATCCGATAAGACGTACAGCTCGTGTATGGCAGACTTTACAGCAGGTCCCGACATAGCTTGCCCCGTGCCCTTTACCACTCCTGGGCCAAAACTGTTGTACAATACTCGAGAGGGTCTAGCCTAGTGAGTGTGAATAAAACCTGGCAAACCATATCTCCAAGTGATTCACATGTTGGTATATTCTCCGTTATCATACATCAATTCCGAGCAATTTGACACCCGAATATTCTCGCACCACTACTGCTGAAGTATTGACCACAAACCATGTTCCATTTGACTTACAAAAGGAACTTGCAAAAGGCATGAGACCACTGGAATCCGTAAAGACTCTCGCATTATTTATTAGCCACCATACATACCTTTCGGGAAGTCGTGTTGGAAGCAGCATGCTCGGAGAGCAGAGCTGAGTGAGATCTGCATACAGTAACACAGCGACAATGAACCACATGAACAGAAGGAAGCAGTCGTATCCGTACACATCTGAATATGCGCTTATGGGAGGAAAATCCGTGCGACAAAAGAGGACCGTGTTATGCAGGTGTATGTCTTACCCGGGTACGTACTAAGTGAGTTCCACCATACGTATATAATTTTATTGCAATTGAATCACTTGACTGACTGGAGCCAAAAATATCAATTGGCACTTACTCCGGTTACCCGAATGTTTCGGTACCACTATCATTAGGTTTTTTGCAATCGAACCAAGTCATAGTTGAGTCATTTTCAATGCGTTAGGTGTTACCTGACGTGCTCACTGCATCAGCCGCTATGTCAGATTCCACCAGGCATGCACCAAACCAGGCGCAATGCGCACACTGATGATGGTGGTTGGCACACAACGAGCAGTAGTAAAAGTGAAAGGACTTTTTGCATGTGATTTTGTTGTAATTTGTGCCAGTCGAATTGTCTCAGTGTAACTAGTTTATCGTTAGCTTACTAGTTTGTTTATACAAAAGAGAAAGACCAAGGAACTACAAGTTACGCTATACTGTCCACTAACACCACCAGTTACTAAACAATCAGCTCATGCGATAGCTATTGCACGACACTGAACAGCTCTAGCACATCTTGGATGCGCACTCCAACAGCCTTGTGGACGACAACCGTCACTGGAGAATCGGTCCGTCGCTCCACCAGCCCGGCGGCACAGTGGACAGTGCCTTGGGGGTGTCAGGCATGGATCAGGCTGATAAGGACGTGGTGGAGACGGAAATGATGTTTGCAAGGAAGAGTGATGATATGCGTATGTGCTCTCCGCCAGTTGTTGAAGCAACAGTCCGGCAGTGGAAAGTCGGCAAGGTTAAAATAAGTGACCAACTGGGTGAAAGTACACCAAATGTGGCCCATCTCTTGAATGGTGCGGACCACGGCAAGGACCTGAAGTTGAAGGTCGTCAATGGCAACACCGCATGGTCGACGTCAATGGGAACATCAAGCCATCAAGTTGGTGGAACTATGGAATGTCCGTCGCAGGCTGCAGCGACAGGGTAACGTGCTCAGGGAAGAGTACAGCGGCGATGATCAGCTGTGTCTTGCACGCAGTCGTGTTGATCGTGGCGTGCAGAACAACAGAGTCAGTTGCGGTATTCGTACATTTGTCTGTTTAGGATTGTGATCCCCAGGAAGTCCTTTGGTGAGGAGTGATGTCACGCAACGAGCAGTAGTCAAAGTGAAAGGACTTCTTGCATGTGATTTTGTTGTAATTTTGTAAGGTGTGGTGGCAGAACTTTCAGCTGGTAGTGGGTGATGGGCTGTCTGTGTGACAACAATTACGGGCTTGACGAACGACATAATTATGGCGAGTCGAACTTTGGCCAGTTGCTGAGTTGGAGATCGTCACCGTAGACCCAGAGATCTGGTCCACGGTCCAGGGGTTGGGATCCCACTGTGGTGAGAGCTTGTGTGCCTGCTCATTGCGGCGTAAGACGCGCTGACCAGGAGTGAGGATGGGGGCGTTTGACCGGCGGGTGGCATTAGCAGCGTCGCACTGGGATTGGCGGAATTGCTGGTCACGGTGGGCAGCTGAAGGCAAGTCTGGTGCGGCTGCCGTAATGCAGGGTATGCTGTCGCGGATGGGGCGACCAAACATGAGTGTTGCCGGTGCCTCGTGAGTGGCAGGGTGTGGCGTGGTGCGGTACGCCAGGAGCCATTGGTCAAACATAACATTGATGTCTTCGCCAGCTAGTTTGGCAGTTCGCAGAACTTTGCCAATGGTACGGTTGAGGCACTCGACTGCTCCGTTTGCTTGTAGCCACAAAGGAGGGGTGTGGCGGTGCTGGATAGCGTGTTGCGCGAGGAAATCAGCAAAAGCCGAAGAACGGAACTGAGGACTGTTGTCCGAGACTAGCTCTTCGGGCAAGCCGAACATGGATAATGTAGAGCGCAGAGCTACAACACCGGCCGTAGTGGGTGTCGTGCTGAACACGTTGATGACCGGGTAGCGAGTCAACTGGTCGATAGTGGCAAGCAGGTGCTGACCGTTTGGCATGGGTCCAAACAAATCGACGAAGACTCGTTGCCACGGCTTGGTGGACGGTGGTGTGGGCACGGACTCCCGGACGTAGCGGTGTCGTTGAGAGAGTTGCTTGGCACGGAATACATTGCCGGCAGAGTGCTTCGGCTTCAGTAGCCATGTTGGGCCACCCAACATTGCTGTTGAGCCGTTGCTTGGTGCGGACAATATCTTGGTGGCCCGCATGTGTAAGCTGCAGGGTAAGCCGTTGGAGGGCCGTGGGAATGACGAGACGGTTGTTGCGGAGTAGTAGACCGTCACTCTCAGACAGTTCATGGCGGAGGGCAAAGTACGGGCGGACCGTGGTGTGGCTGGAATCCCAGCGGCCAGATTGCAGAGAGGAAAGGATGGCTTGCAGTGTGGTGTCTGCGGTGGTGGCGTCCGCAATCTCCTTCAGAGCCAACGCATTCGGCTTAGCTGCTGTAGCTAGGGCATGTATGTACGCAGTGTCTTCCTGTGCGCCGATGTTTGGCAAGTCGGGATGAGGCTGCGGATTGCGACTGACGACGTCGGCCGGGTTTTCTGGGCCAGGCTTGTACTGGAGCTGGAAGCTGAGATCCTGCAGGCGGAGGACCATGCGCTCAATTCATGGTGGAGGTCTCGATCCGACGGCCTTGAGTTGCAGGAGCGGCTTGTGGTCGGTGAACTGTGGATCACCTTGTCAAGTCGTGGTGAAAGCGAAGGCAGCCAAACTTGACACCCAATGCTTCCCGTTCAGTTTGAGAATATTGCTGCTCGACGCCGGAGAGTGCACGGCTGGCGAATGCTACAGGTGCATCGTGGCCGTTGTCTTGGCGTGGACACAGGATTGCGCCGAGGCCGATGCGTCGACATACAGTGATGTGTTGCGGTCAAAGTATTGCAGCATGCAGTCTTCGGCGATGGCCTTCTTCAGTGCATCAAATGATTGCTGCTCAACATCAGTTCAACGCCAAACAGTACCTTTCTTAGTGAGAGCAGGGAGTGGCGTGGTGAGATCGGCCATGTTACGAATGTAACGGCGGAGGAAGTTGGTGAGACCCAGGAAACTCTGTATGTCGCTGACGCAAGATGGCGTAGAGAATGTAGCCACAGACTGCTGGTGGCTGGGAGAGGCGCGGATGCCCTTGTCGGAGTAGACGCTAGCCATGAACTTGAGCCGAGGCTTGAGGATGTGACATTTGTGACATTTGGCTCGGTTGAGTGTAACGTTGTGATCTTGGAGCCGCTGGAGGCAGGCGGCGAGTCGTCGGTTGTGCTCTTCGACGCTCTTACCAAAGTTGAAGATGTTGTCGTGGACGTTCTTCACACCGTCGAGGCCAGCGAGCCATGGCGTCCAGTGTGCGCTGTAGGATCTCGGATGCGGACGATACGCCCATGGGCAGACGTTTACAGTGCAAAACTGCGTAGCGACGTGACTCAGGGTGGCCTGGCTCTCCACAGCGGTAGCAGAGTGATGTGCTGGATTCCCGCCGGCCTGGAGCGCGAGTGGCGACTGGGGCAGGTGGCTGGTGGTACGAGTTTGCAGCTGGATGTGGCGAAGACTGCATCGGTCGACGCGACGGAGTTGAAACAGTAGCAGGAGGCGGCTGTGTCCTTTTGTAGAACGGTGGCTGATGACGGAGGGCATTGATCGAGTCTTGTGTGCGCCGGAACGCCGTCGTCTGTTCCACTGACGCTTCAAATGCTCTGGCGGCCTTGAGCGCCTTGGCGAGATCAAGGGACCCAGTCTCCAGCAGTTTTCTGCGGAGTGGATCGGACGTGCAACCTGCCACAATTTGATCACAGAGAGCCACGTTCTTCTGGGCATCGTCGGCGAAGCTGCAGGTCGTTGCCGATGCCAGCAAACGAGTATAAAACGTGTCTAATGTTTCGCCAGGCTGCTGGGTGACCTGCCGGAAGTGGAAGCGGGCCATGCTGGGGCTCTGCTTCGACTGAAAGTAGTCGGCGGCGGCGGTTATGAGGCCGTCGAGATCGTTGCCAGTGTTGGCTAACGTAGGGACGAGCTGCTGGATGTCCTTGCCGGCCACATACTGGAAAGTGTCTCTCTGGCGAGTGTCATCCGAGATGCCGGCTGCTGCGACATAGAGTTGGAAACACCGTTCCCAGGCAGGAAAATGGGCAGCAGCATCGTAGAGACTGCTGTAGATCGGGAATGGCTCCGGAGGCGGTAGTGACAGTAGGGACATGGCGAGGATCAGGCGTTTGCTCGCAGCGCCAATGTAATGTTGTTCTCTTGCTGTATTCCAAACAACAACTAACTCGGAGCTCCGGAAAGCTCCGCAATAGTGAGGTTTTGCATTCCGAATTTCGGCTTGGCGTTCTTTGGTAATTTGTCGAACATCAAAATGTCGAATTTTCGCACCGACGTTTGTTTTGCAAGTCGAAAATGATGTGTTTTGATTTCGTGAGCCCCAGCATCAGCAATGTCCTGTCCCGTGCTCCTTTTCTTGCTGATTCCGACAAACTTTGATCGCGCCCAAAGAGTCGAGGGCCAAACCTGCCTCCTCAGTCGCCTCAGAAAAACCAACTCCATGGCCAAGTCAAATTTTATGGGTATCGCCATAGTCTTTTCAGCCACACAGATGACGGTGAGGACACTCCAGGCGAAAGAGAGTAGACAGGCAGTGGAGAGGAGCAATCAGAGGTAGCTGACGATGCTGATGTCGTCAAAGACGCCTGCGAAGCCATGCCAAGATAAGAAACCTCTTTGAATAAATCAAGCGCTAGCGCTCTTCTACAAGAAAATTCATCCGAAAAATATGTTCGGCAAAGTGAGCTTTTTCCGAACAAACATGCCGCATCTTCGTGTGCATTTTCGACCTCGCTCTCGCGTGCCGAATATTTTGCCGAATTTTGGAATGCAAAACCTCACTAATATGATGCCAACAGAATGTAATGGTGTGCGTGCATGCGTACAGAGTCGGTGCGTACCGACTGTCAGCACAGGTGTGGAAAGCAGCATATGTAAATGGATAGGAGCACAAACGGTGCCGCGTGCATATATGTGTCGGTAGAGCATGAAACTCTTAATCTCAGGGTCGTGGGTTTGAGCCCCACCTTGGGCGCCAAATGTCGTCTCGGTTGGAGAACGAGCTGCCTCTACTATACCCTCGCCACGCCACACATCAAACGGACTAGCCAAGTGGTTTTTCTCTAGAGCTAGAGAGAGAGCTATTCATTACTACACTTCAGGAGACGACGGGAGAACTGACAACTGACATGGCGAAAGGAAACATGATATCGGAAAGTGGTGCCCTCATCAGCACAAAAAGTGGCGTACTTGATATCATATCAGCACAAAAAGGTGCACGTGTCAGCAATACAACAAAGCAGCGCAGCAGCATGTACGGGTCAGCATCACAGAAACACAAATACAGCAGCAGGTACGACAAAGAGACAACACGTGCAGCCACATGTACAACATATGGGTGTGACAGTCCATATATGTACGTGTGAACACTACACACGATGAGAACATGCAAACTTGCAAAGTATGGAGACCCAGACTATGTGGTCAGCAGGACACAGCCCGTACAGGATGGAACAGACAACTAAACGTAATATAGCACCACGTACCGGCGGACTAGTCGACGCTGATGGGAGAAGTGGCACCCCCTGAGGCAGCTACGGATGCTAGAACTCTACAGCCAGACCAACACCAATATAAAACAAAAAGGTACACCACACCAGGAAGCAAGTCAAATAAAGATGTGCGAACAACAGCCACACACCACAGAAAAGCATACAGAACAAAAACTCAATTACCGACACCATAGACACTGCAAAATCCAAACAGGAGGAAAATACTAACTCCCTGAGGACACTGAGCATGAGGCAAACGAGCAAGCAACCTCTTGCCGATGTTCCACCGTGTAACAACAACCGCGCTGGCCACCGGACTGTATGGTAGGGGTATTACACCTGGACCTCAAGACCAACGGGCGAAGGACAGCAGGCCGGGCCCAGGTAAATACAATGAGGAGCACTGTATACAACTACAGAAATAACCCAAACCCATGCCAATTTGACCAACATACCTTCCCTGCGCATCCATTCCTAGTGTACGGGTCTGAAAGATGAAAGATGGAGCGCTTGTATACACGGGCCCGGAAAGCCTGCTTCGGCCGCTCGGCAGCAGCTTCGTAGTGGTGGTCAAGGGTCGAAGACCGACGGATACAGATCAACTCCCCAGTGAACACACCTTTGCCCATACTACAGGGGTGGTTACTACCGACAAGCAGATACAGGAAACGATTGGTGAACTTGAAATGAGGCTTCACCGCCATGTATCCCTTACTACGGAAAACTGTGATGTCCAGGAAATCAATGACATCATGTGCCAGTTCATGAGAAAACTTGAGGGCCGAACACTTATTAATCCTATCTAAAGTGCGCTGAGCTTGACCTTCGCAACCATGCAATGATAAAGCTATCTATAAACCTGAACCTCTAAACCCTCCCCCTCTAAGATCGGCAAAACGTACTGCTTCTCTAAATACAGCATAACAATGTCGGCATAGACCACTGCTGCAGGCGAACCCATGGCAGTCCCTTGGATCTGCCGAAACACATCGTTACCATACACGAACTCATTTTTCTTCCGAATGACTGACATCAAGGAAGTCACTGCTGTTAATAACCATGTACGAAGGGCGAGGGGCATCCACCTTGTACACCTGTGTGTGATATACCACGACAACCGAGCTCGTTGGGGATGTTGGTGTAGTAAAGGCTGGTCACAGCTATGCTCAATTATAAATGATCGTCCCGCACAGGCAAACCTTCTACCAAGTTGATGAAATCCGCAGTTGAGGTCAGAACAGTACTTTCCTCACATACATACGGGTTCAGTAGAAAGTCAGTGAACTCAGCGGGATAGTAGCCAGGACTATTTAGATTAACAATAGGCCTAACCTTCAGGACCCAGGGCTTATGTGTTTTGAGAAGTCTCCTGAAAACGGGCATGCGCCCCCGGTGCGACTAAGAACAGTGACATAATATATTATATTAGTGGGCATACGATGCTCAATGCGATGCCTAGTCATGGTGAGTAAACAATTGACTCGGGTCGCTCACACAAAGTCTCAACACAGCCTTGAGCCTGTTGGTTGCCATCGGCAGTCTAGCCGCATGCTCATCTAGCCCCTCAGGCAAAAAAAAACAGTCATTTATAATGTTTGGCATTGTGATGCTGGGCACGACCTATATCATCATAGTGAGATCAGTCCAGGACTACTATCACAATAGACTGCCTTTGAATATGCCTGAGTCCAATTGCGTTCTAGCTCCCAAACTATGTGCTGCATGTGTACACTCCGCCTATGGTTAGTCTACTCCAGAACAACGCCTGGAGAGGTTCATTGGGGGCATGATGTCCCCCCACCCCATTCCCCCCTTGCCCCCTGCACCTGAAGTACCGGTATTGCCCCCCCCTCCCCAAACAAATTACAGGACACAGATGGAGCACCGGGGTAGCAGTAGGCAAAGTTGACGATGCCAGTGCAGACACGCCTGATCTCGGTCACCACACTGGTACGTATAGTCTCCAAGGGACATAGCTACCAGAGAACACACAGAATGGGAGTATATAGTGCTATCTCGGTGGATAGACATCCTCCTATACACAAAATATCTACTGATAGAGTTCTGTGTAGACCCTATGTGCACATATGTGTGGATGAGTACTGGTAAACGGACAGCTAACCCTAGTCTAAGTAAAATAAAGGTACAATGTAGACCCTGGGCAAAAAAATAAGTAAATAAAAATATTGACTAGTTTGAGGGAAAGACACAAACGGGAAAAGTCTGAAGAAAAAATTGACTGTCACCAAAAAAATAATAATAGCTACACACACGAGGGAACTCGGATGGAGAGCCAAGGATTAAAATTGAAAAAGAGGACCATCAGTTTACGAGTTATCCGTTTTGTCCAACACTAACGGATATAAACGTGATGCAGCTAAGCATCAGGTCGTTGAATGTCATGATCTCATCAGTCAGTTTTTGTGCTAATTGTTGCACATTTTTGACTCAGCAGTATTCTGCATATAACCGTTAGTGTTGGACAAAACGGATAACTTGTAAACATGAGGGAACACTCATCCTTACCCAAGTCCCAACGTCAGCACTCGGCGCTGCTCCGAACCAAGAGGGACACGGGAGAGATCGTCCATCAGCTCCTCTCTTGTCCTGCGATCAAATCGCCTAATGCTAAACACAAGAAGATAGGAAAGGCAAGTAGAATAAATAAATCAATAAAATAATAAACAACAAAACAAGTTTGACCAGCTGCAAACGTAATGGACGATTCGAACAAGACCAATGATATACCTAGCAATAAGTGTGCAGAGTGTGCAGCCCAAGGATAATCATCCCACGGCAAAGTTTATTGTTTAGGGCATAGACTCACAGTAACAAGCTCACCTTTGCTGCATCTCACACCGCTTCACACGGTAATCTACTGTATCACCATGGTACTTTCTGTTGCACATTGCTGCTTGTTTAACAAAAGGCAGAAAACACACCGAATTTCCAGGAATTACCATGGTGAAACGGTACTTTAGCTTGAACCTATTGTATGACGGGTTTTCTATGATTGATAATGACCCAGAGAGAAACTAAACCGGTATCGAATTCCAGTCAGCGACGCAATCCTTCTGAGGTGTAAAGTGACTTCAGGAATATGTTGCAGAAAACTGCGATGCATGCTGATTATTTACTGTGCCCTATTGTGCACAATATACCAGGTGTGTTACTCAGGGATGAAGTAGATGCACACACGTGCCGGGCATCACGGCACAGGTTAGGTTTGCTACTAGCCGCTGCAGTGTACTTGTGGTCCCAACTTGCACTCTACTCAACTCTGCATACGCAAAGAGTGCTGGTGCCGAAATGAACCAGAAGGGTACTGAGTGGGACGCAACAACACTGACTCTGTCTACCCATGTACACAGATATGATAGGGTATGCAGTACCTGCTCTAAGATTTAACACAAACCGGGTACACGTCTACCTGGCACAATTCCTGCAACACTGGGCCAGAGCCAGATGCATTCAAGTGCGGCTACTGTGTGTCAGGGAGTCGTAAACTTACTTTCGACTTCCTGATGTACATGATTGTACATGTACATGTATGAACGTACTCGCACTGGGCACTCTGGCCGCACGCATCTGCACGCGTATGCAGCCTGTCAGTGGCGGTATACCCTCGAACGGTATAAAAAAGTATAGTACTCGACAGGACTTCCGACCGGGTCGCAGGTAACCCAGTGTTCTTTTTCCAAAAGGTCCAAGTACTCACAAACAGGGCCACTGACCCGGCTCTGGAGCAGACACTGGTAATCTAGGTCCAAGTTTGCTCGATTATGTTCTGACGCTTCATGTGCTTTCATAGCCAAGGTTTCTCACTTTCTTCGCAAGCTCTTTTAGTCTTGAGAGTTGACAACTGCTTATGGTTGTGTTGGCAGAAAACATGTCAGCTAATCTGACAACCGTCCAACCCCATTTTACTGGTAAGTAGTCAGCGAGTGGCTTTGATGGGGCCATACAGTACTAGAGGGGAAGTTACGCGGCATATTTGTGCTTCCTTTTTGAAAACACATTCTCGCTCGAAGGGTTTCTAAACTTTATCCCTGCGCTCATTGATGGAGTTCATCGATGGAGTTGCCAGCGGCACTCTACAGAAGAACAATGTTGTCAAGTTTTTTATGAAAAATTGTCAAACATTTTCAAATTGCTATAAGTTTGGTTAGGGCCGGGTTCCACTGCGGCTCCGCAGCTCCGCTGCTCCACGGTACTTGGCTGCATGCAGCAGAGCGGCGCGGTTCCAGTGACACTCGCCATTCACGGTACCGCGATCGTGCTCGACGTTTTTTTTAATGACATTTAGCCTGCCTGCGCGCGCGTGAAATCCAAAAAAATCCTCGTGTTCTGGCCTGTGCAACGAATTAAAATTCCCCCGAATAAAACAATTAAGTGCGGGAAACAATGCAAGCCGTGACCGCGGCTTGCATTTTTTTGTATCAAGCAGCGAAGCGAAAGCTGGTGATGAGCCGCGGCCTCGCTGGACCAGCTCGTAATGATGACGTTTCATGCCGTGGATGATGTGCGGCGGAGCGGCAGTGGAACCCAGCCCTTAGGCAAAGGAAATTTGTCATTAATTTGTTTATGCTGCATAGATGGAGAGCTGCACACTCTGGCTTATGGACTCTCGCCTACAGTGTAGTCGTACTGCTAGTGTACTGGCATTACAGAAGACACGAAAAACGAGAACATAATTATGGCGAGAAAGTAATTACTGGCTAAGAATTGCCCTAAGACTTACCGCTTCTCAGTGCTCCATACCAGGAAGTAGTACAATACCTACTCCCTGCTCCATACGAGTGTTTTCTCCTCATTCTCTGCATCCTTTACCCCAGGAGTCTCGTCCATTTAGCGGCTCAAATGCTTGAGCTCCGGATAGCGGAAAATAGCTCGTCGTCCATTAGCGGCTCTAATAGTACCTGGTCTGAAGTGTCGCAGTCTAGCACAACTATGATTTTTTCCAGGAGGGTAAGGGTTGCAAACCCAAAGAGACCCTAAGCTTCGTCTATCAAACAAAACAATTGCCCTAAAAAATGGAAGAGGAAAAGAGTGAGCGAGCTGGTCTGAGCGCGCTACTTTTCAAAAAATAGAAGCTGAAACTTGAAAGCCATCAAAGTCAAAGCATTCTGGCTAGCGCGTTTGTGTATGTCACGAGCGCTAGCGCGCTAGTCGCAGCAAACGCTCGCAGGCCAGAGTTAGCGCTATTTGGGCTGTTTGCCGCACGCGGCAGCTGGATGGATCACGTGATCCAAGCTGACAAATAAGGTCCGATGGTTCAGCTACATTGAGCCACAAGCAATAATAATACAGGCCAGGAGAAAAATATTTTGCCGAAGCCGAAGTACTACAGTATACCGTAGAATCCCGCGGATAAGCCCACCCGCGTATAAGCCCATGCCCGCGCATAAGCCCAGGGTTTGTTCGAACATCACAAAGCTTCATCGTACAAGCCATGCCATGGGCCTAGGTCACACCGAGAGTCCATAAATTATGGACTCTTGGCCATACCATGTACGTAGTACCTGCACATTAATTATTTTTTTAGTACATTTCAGCACAATCATCGGTTGTTTTTGTTTGCACAGTGGTTTTCAGCATGTACTTCTCACTTCCTTGATACTTTTCAATAGCACAACTTGGTGTCGGCGTATAAGCCCATGCCCGCGTATAAGCCCATGTTCTCGTATAAGCCCACCGAAAAGTCCTTGTGAAACAGATAAGCCCATGGGCTTATCCGCGGGATTCTACGGTAGTACAATCATGTACCTAGTATGGTTTGTTTACTTCTTCTCGCGATGATGTCTTTTTACCAGTGCAGTACCCAAGACAGAAGACTGCAAGAGTTTATGGACTCTTGCCACTACTCGTACTACCGAGCACCCTGCTGTTTCTCGGCAGGTAAGTAGCTCAGCTTCTCAGTATCGACGAAAGGAGTCTTGTGGAGTAGTGTGCGGCTGGCTCTGAGGATTCTGGAGTCAGCGAAGTAACAATTACATTAATTTTTGTTGTGTCAGAGTGTCCTTATGAATATGAGACTGCGAAGTTGCTGCCGATTCGAGAAATCGCAGCTGGCTCTGACGCTGAGTGGACGCCGCTAGCGCGCTGGAGACAAGAAAGAGAGTTGCTCGGCGAGCGAATAGCCATTCGAGAGCGGAGTGGCCAAGACTCAGTCTGCACAAGACAAAGTAAAGGATGTCCCTCCTGGTTACTAGCTCAGAGACAGCTATTCGCCTATTCTTTAGCTGTGAAACGAAGGGACGATTCTTTAAGTGGAAGAACAATCGTAGATGTGCTGATCTACATGTACTTGCATGTAGTATCACCCATTTAGCTGTGTTATAGTGCTTGTAGAACTGAGTCCGTGGCAGTTGAGCCTCATGAAGAAGATCAGAGCAGAGTGTGATAGGATTAGCGCGACGTGGACATTCGCCACTGGAATAGGACATCATCTATTAATTTGCATTATGAACAAGTCACTGCCTATCCCAAGCTCAAGTCTTCGATTGCGTCAGTGCAGAATTCCTGGCTGTAATTGTGTGCAGCATCCAAACGACAACAGCCAGTTCCAGAAATTACACACTGAAGGCTTGCCGGTGTTCACTAAGCACTTCAAGTGTGTCCTGAGGCAGAACTGAAACGGCATTGACAGAGTGTTACGTGAAGAAGACAGAGGTATTACTATTAGTCAGTATCAGGAGTGTCATACAACATCAGGCATTATGGCAGATAAGAGATGAGACCAACAGGCTTGGCAACATCAGCCATAGCAAGAATCACAGGCATAACAAGATCCGCAGTCATAGCAGAAGCAACAGCCATGGGAAGAGCAGGCAGCGTAGCAACAGCAATCACAACAACGCAGACGCAATAACATTTTCAGTAGCCGTCCGTCTCAGTACTAACAGCAAAATACATAGCACGCTGAATGAGCAGGATTATCGTTCCCAGGACGCAGGAGCAAAGCCCACAGCAGCATTGCCGACGGCACCAGGTATGGTCAATTTGTTCATAATGATAATATTATGCGTTGTAGTGCGTGTGTGTTTGTGTGTGTGTGTGTGTGTGTGTGTGTGTGTGTGTGTGTGTGTGTGTGTGTGTGTGTGTGTGTGTGTGTGTGTGTTTATGCATGCATCAGCTGTGTGGTGGATAGTAGATACCAGGATAAAATTAGTGGTGGTCAATTCATCAGCCTTGCAAGCTGTTGAATGGTGTAATCCCAGCACAAGTTGCTATGTCAAACATAGCTGTTCGCCATCATCCCTTCCGCGACAGGCATGTCTGAGTGTGCGGGCGTGTGAGCAGTCGTGTGTGTGTGTGTGTTTGTGTGTGTGTGTGTGTGTGTGTGTGTGTGTGTGTGTGTGTGTGTGTGTGTGCCAGCTAGTTCAGTTGGTAGGTACACTTATGCCTGATTGTGTTGGGTCTGTTGCCAACAGGCTCGGCTGCTTGAAGGTGCAATGTTGTACCTGCCACCTTTTTTGGTTCCAGGGTTCATATACTTTCTATTTAAAGTATACATACCTGCAGGGCCGGCGCCACTGGTACGGCCGGTACGGCCATGGCCATACCAATTTCCCAAAAAGTCTGTCCACGTGGAATGTCCAAAACCAGGGAGAAAAAGTTTCGATGTATGATTTTGTACAGGGAGTCGCCCAGAGTGCATGATTTGCCGTCTTAATTCCAAACATTTTCTTAGGGAGGACCCCAGACCCCCTTAAAGGGGAACTCCACGAAAAAATGAAACTTTGATAGCCTGTAGAGTTTCGGGCGCTGAGTCGAATGGTCTTGGTCCGAAGTCTCTACGACGAAGCGTTCTTGAGATATTTCACTTTGAAATTGCAAAAACGGGGGCCGCGCCCTGACGTCATGCGGCCATTTGGTTACATCATCACGGGCTGCCTACGTCATTGTGGCAAAGTCGTTTCTCTTCGCCAGTCTACAAGCACTAATTTTAGTTGGTATTTCAAGGGAAGATGGGCGATTCCGAACAATCCTCTGTCCCCAGCAATGAAGGCAGCCATGCTGAGGCCAGTGAGGACGACCAACAGCCCACCGCCGCGTATGGTTGGGGCAGGGAGCCCAGATACTCTGCTGAGGAGCTGCCATCGCGTGTAACAAATGTGGAGGAAGAAGATGCTTCAGCAGCTGCGTCCGACAGAAGACGAGTAGCTTGGCCACCAGAATCTCGATTCGTTTGGGACTCCGACTGGTGCGAGCGTGGACAAAAGTGTATAGCCATGCCCAGCCCGCGGGAATGATTTTGCTGGTAGGATGCTGCCGTCGCTGTCGACAAGACGGCCCAAGGTTTCTTGCGTAGCGGACCTCGCAGATTACGAGATCGTATCCTTGCATTAGGCTGTGCTCATCACTGCTCTTCGAGGTTATCTCGACATGCAGAAGCCGCCAATGCCAGTGACAGAAGAGTCTGACATTAGGTAAGCCTCAATTAGTTTGCCTTGACTTGTCTTGTGAGGATCGCGTATCAGCATGATACACTTATTCTTATTTTTTGGGGGAAATTTATTGTTGTCAGGCGCACTACAGTAGGCGTCGCACAAGAAAGACATTGTACTGGTAGTTATCACAAGTTCCATGCATGACACAAACAAATTTCTCTTTGCTCCGAGTATGTCTTGACTTATCTTGTGAGGATCGATGCGCGTAATGTTTTGTGTGTAACTAATTATTGTTGTCAGGCATAGCACGAACAACGTTGTTCTGTACTATAGACCGTGCTATCACAAGTTTTCATGCATGACTCACATTTGTCTTTGTCATTTTCCCTTGGATTGGTACAAGATCTACAAAGTATGGTAGGTAGTGTTCTGTTGGTGAAGAGAGCACTGCACACAGTTTATGAGCACCATGGGTGCATTTGATCACACCCGAACCCATACTTTATCGTTTCAAGCGATAGACTTTGTCAATAAACTCGTTTTCTAGTATACCATGGCATGCAACGTACAAGCGTGGGGTCAAGAAAGCGTACACCAAAATAATGCACAAATTCTGGCAGGAGAGTAAGAAATCTGTACTTTCTGACCAAGACATCTCTGTACTAGTAGGTAATCGAACGCGTCCTAATCAGTATTCATCCCCCAGATCATTGGAATTCAATTTGAAATCAGCAATTATGGTAAATTCTACAAGACCCTCCATCTTTGTACCAGTGGACACTAAATTAGTATGGCGCGCGCACTGAAAGTGCAGGTAGGTACCGGTAGGTGCAATACAGCGCATATGTAGAGTAAATGAGTATTTGACTATAATAATTATTACGGTACAGCAATGTGGTATGTGTACAAGCACTCATCATACACATTCCATATGACATTCTGTGTTTGTGTAGATCTCTACGCTATGCGGCACACAGGCAGTACACACTATGTACACGGCAAATTGGGCAAGCACGTTCGTTGTCGTCTTCCAGCCTGCGTTGTGAATACCATCAGGCAAAGATATCCAAATCCTGCACCACCTCAGCCTTCTCAGGAGGCTTCCACCTGGAATTTGGCAGGGAAACACGCTTCTCCAAGGCAGGAACATGGAGGTTGCCATTTGCAACCGCTACCACCTCACACATGAGCTTGTCAACATACTCATAGCTCTTTCTGTCGTATAATTTTCTATTTGGCCACAGTCTTCTTTATGCTTTGAGAACTGGACTTTATACCTTCCTATCGCGGTCTTTTTGGTTGTGCTGTGGCGACGGTTGACATTGACGTCGTCAAGAGCTGCGAGATGTGCGTGTCCAATCATCCCCAGAATTGAGAAACGAATGCGTTTGAGAATGTAGTTTGGCATGACACTGTGATATACCTGCATGGCAAAAAGAATGTGGAGAAAACACACTTGCTTAGACAATATACTGCTGTATGAGAAAATGGAAACTTCACCGTACAGGACGACTCTTGTTCTCAATTGCATTGTTCGTTTCATTCCCTGTGTTGCCCATAAGAGACGGGAGCAAAAATGTTCAGCAGATGTTTGTTGTCTTCTGGCGTGGAGTGGCGGCGTCATTAGATGTACACATAGTCATTTCACTAAGTATACCACTACTACAGCATATGTACTATCCTTAGGCTAGCGTGCGTGCGAGTGAGTTTGAGTATGTGGGTGCGTATGTGTGCGTGTGTTGTTGTGTTTGTGTGTGTGCACGCACACGCACGCGCGCGCATGTGGGTGAAGGTGTGAGTGCATGTGTATAATATGTGTAGTTCCCACTGTATTCCTTGCACAATAGGTCTTCACTTACTTTTCTTTCGCATACAACCAGAACCCATTCCTTGTTCGAAATTAGATTTTTTTGGCCTGGTGATCCCGCAAGCGTAGAACTCGGAGTGTAATATATTTTTGTTTCACTTTACTTGCACTATTCCAAGGCTGTCCAGACTTCTAACAACTGCTCTGAGTGATATGGTATTCATGCAACCATGCCTAGAAGTAGGGTAGCTGTTATAAATAGAGAAATATCCACGCAATCAACTTACACTGGTTCAGTTTGGCAGGATTGGTGAGACAGTTCGTCGTGCATGCTGCCTGCACATCGCAAGCAAACAGTTCTGTAACCTTCGTACTTGCTGGGGGTCTGTCTGTTTGCGTCCCAGTTGATGACAGATGTGCACAGTTTGAGTACTGGTATGCGCAAAGTTACTGGGGTAATATCGTTCATCAGCTAGCTGCAGTCGGAGTTGATGGGGTGATGTACTCTTCTGATCCTGATGGGACGTATCTCGCCCTGCTTTCTCAGTTGCAGCTTGTTGAGTTCGCTTTGCTGGAGGCTCACGGTTCGGAGGGCACTGGTACACTGATGAGGGCTTTCCTGGACGGCGTACTCGTCAAAACTCAGCTCTCAAGTCCCTCTGGATCATAAATGCAGCGAGCAAACATAGCTCGTGCTGCGAAAATAGGCTTGAAATTTTCACGACGCATTGCAACATCTCGGCGCTTTGCCAGGTCTCCATCCTTTGGGAATTTGAGAAAACTAACCCCAGGAGGATGATGTGATACTGGCACAATCAACAACACAACAATTTGGCATTGCAGCGGCTCAGGCGACTTGGCAAACTACTTTCTGAAGTGACTTTCGTCCTGAAGAAAGTGATATTCAAAATCCAAGTATTTTCGCACCATGCCACAATGACGTCACACATACATTGGTATGGGGCGTGGCTAAAATTGAAATATCTCAAGAACGCTTTCTCGTAGAGACTTCGGACCAAGACCATTCGACTCAGCGCCCGAAACTCTACAGGCTATCAAATTTTCATTTTTTCGTGGAGTTCCCCTTTAAGCGTTGGTGTTTGATTTTGAGCATTTTATCACTATAAGCGATATATTACTATGACCGACTCTAGTACTGCATGCAGTGTATGCGAGTGGGGTGTCAAACGACTCAGCGCGCCGTGCACATATACGCACTACATACATGTACAATGTCATGTAGCTGGCTGTAGCTCCTGACACACAAAATCAGCATTTCCTCATGATGGAGGCATATTTTGGCAACTTGTACGAGCAAAACTCACCAAACAACACTCACTGGACAAGTTCTTCACAAAGAAGTAACACCCTGTTCTCCTCTGACACCACTTGATTTTACATCAATCACTATAACCGATGCAAAAATAATGTAATAGAGGTCTTTTGAAATATGAATTTGATCACTATAGGCGATATATTACTATAGACGATTATTACTATACGCGATAACTGTGTATACTTAGTTATGGCAAATGAAAATGAATTTGAGAAATTGATCACTATATCCGGTATATTACTATAGCCGCCAACCTTATAGGCGATACGGACTGTACTTCAGTAACGTCTGGTGCTAGCCAGGGCCCGCACAGCTTTAATTCCATGTGTGTTTGTGCCGTCGGCATGCCTGGCGCTATCCCGTACCGTACCATAAAAGACAGCTGGCCACAATATTCAAATAGGGCTTACAAATGCAAGATCATAACGTGAAGCAACTTGGAAGAATGAGTATGTATGCTAAGTGTAACGCATGCCATGGGATAGTAGCATGGTCCTGTCCTTAGTATTGAAAGTAAGATAATAGTGATAGAATGGCATTTGCACTTTCACATGAATTAGGGAGTGTATAGATAATTCTTCTCTCAGGCCAGCAACCTAAGCATAGTATCGTATTATCATGGTGCTAGTCGGCAAGGCATGGTGCAAGGTGTACTCAGTGCACATGCATTTGCTATCACAACAGCACAGGGTGATGGTTTCTGTTCTTTGCAATCATGTCTGAAGTATCTGTCTTGCTGTTCCTATGCGTGCATTCAGACCTGAGACTCAATGTGTTGACTGGAGGAAGCCAAACCAGGGGTCGGTACGGCAGCAATGACAGCATGCGACGTGGCGATGGGGAGAGCACACTGCCATGCCGTGCATCGTCCATTGACCCTATTCCCGAGTCGGAAGCCGACCCTCGCGGCTATGGTGCGGCTGCAGAAGTCAATCCCGGTGTGGGAAAGGACAGCACGATATCGCCACTGAGGTCACCGCCGTCCTGGTACAGTGACGAAGCTGCGCTACCTGCCAGTCTCGCCAATCAACATCTCAGCCAGTACAATAGCCTGGTCCGGGGAAATCGAACAGACGATGGCAGCTATCAGAATATTTCAAGCATTCCGTCCCGGTACAATGAGCAGCCAGATGGTGCCTCACGGGCCCGACACCCAGTTAAACGGCAGGAGTCTCAGGAACAGGAGGTAGCACTGGCGATCAGGGGAATGAACAGCCACTCACGACAGGCCATTGCTGCCCAGGCCATGGACCATTCGGAAACCCCATCAGGTGAGCTGACATGTATATCCAACCCCCCTCCCCCCTCCCCACCATTCCTGTAGGGAATCGTCACGGAAACTTCCCTTGTTGTTGTTGTTGTTGTTGTTGTTGTTGTTGTTGTTGTTGTTGTTGTTGTTGTTGTTGTTGTTGTTGTTACTTTATTTTACTTCACCAGAATTACAGGCAGTAGAATGCCTTCTCACTAGACCAGGTCTAGTTCTCACAAATGATGAATGTGAATGAACATGCTAAAGCTAATGAAAAACAAGAAATAGAAAAAGAGGAGAAAAACTTGTGTTTTATATTTTATGACGGTATTTGTATGTGAGTGACAGTGATTACATGACAAGGGAAAGAAAATAAAAAGATAGACAGAAAAGAGTAAGGAATAAACGAAGCAGATGTATGAAATAGAAATAGAGAAGTTGAGGTATTTGAGGAGAAAAGTCAGTTTGTCGATTAGAGACCAAACCAAAAGATCAAAATGCACATGTCTGACGAATGACTCAAGACAGAGAAAGCGTGTCAAGAACATCTGGGCACAGCAGGGCTTTGAAACCCAGAATATCTTCATGGCAACGAATATTTGCCGGAAGCCTGTTCCAATACACGCTGCCCACGAATTGCATGGACGCTCGAGATGCTGGTCCACGAACAAATGGAATTTGGAGAAGACGTGAGACCTGGCCACGTGTAACACGGCGTGTGCTTTGCTCAAGACCAGGTTCAGGGATTCAACAGAAAGAAAGGCGAAAATAGCATGCTTGCATTGGAGGCAAGACATCTATGGACAAAAACTACAATCTTGAGCTTAAAATGATGGATTAGTGGGGAAATATTTAATCTAGAAATAAGAGGTGCGGTCGGTGTTTGACGAGGGAGCTGAAACACAGCTCTGACTCCAGCCTTGCTGATCTTCCCCAAACGGTCGAGAAGCTGAGCTGTGAGGCTTGGGTAGAATGCTGCTGAAGCATAACACAGCTGGCTGTTTACCATACTGGTGTGCCACGACCGTCGAACTCTCAGCGTTAGTGAACGCCCGTGTCTCCACAATTGCCCTATGGTTTGTGCTGTTCTACGTGACACATAGTCGACATGTGGCCTCCATGACAATTGGTCGTCAACGATCACACCAAGGTACTTTGCGGTGGCAGTCACCTCCAGTTGCTCGTTGTTGCAGAAAACATCGGGTGTGGCAATGGCTGCGCCACGAGGCTGAACGAACATGACCTGAGTCTTGCTGGCATTCATTACGAGGCCGATGTCTTCAAGCCATCGGGAGATATCAGTTACTGCTCTCGTTAGAGTTCTGCCAACAAGATCCAAGTCGGGTTGGGAGAAATCAAGGATTATATCGTCAGCAAATTCTTGGTGATTGACACAAATTGTAGCATTTTTGAAGTGTTTGTCAGAAAACTGGAGGTCCAAAACAGGTAGCCTGAACATAGGGTGGAGTGAGGCAAGGAGGGGAAAACAATGTGGAAAGCTCTGCCTTTTACGGGCATTGTACGCCATACTCGATTACGTTTTACTTTTGTGGGTAGTTTTCCATGCTGTAAAGCATTCTGTTGCTTGAACAATGTGGACCTAATCACCTCTTCATGCAAAAGTCTGTGCATTGCTTTTCAATGCAGAACTACTGTTGTGGATATTGAAATCCGATGGGATGACCGCGGCCGGCGCCCTTTCTGCATTTACCTCATACATGCACTGTAGTTCATGTGTACACTGTGAAAAATGACCAGCAGTGCTCACCGTTGCAAGGCCAGTGTCCCATGGCCGCAACAGGACAATCATGAACATTCATATACATGATTTTACTCAATCTGCGATCTGCGGACAGAACTGTTTCGTCCTTTGTGGACTCGTCGGCGCAGCACAGAGGAAATGAGGCCGAACCTGATAGCAATGGAAATAAAAATTTCCAATCAGGTCCGAACGTACCTTGCCAGAGTGCTCAAACTGACAAGTCAGTGAGCCCTGCATAACGCAAACAGCAAAGGCACTACCCCACGCAAGAGTGCTCAACTGCTACAAGAGCAGGAGCTAAATACTCAATCTGCGGACAGAACTGTTTCGTCCTTTGTGGACTCGTCAGCGCAGCACAGAGGAAATGAGGCCGAACCTGATAGCAATGGAAATAAAAATTTCCAATCAGGTCCGAACGTACCTTGCCAGAGTGCTCAAACTGACAAGTCAGTGAGCCCTGCATAACGCAAACAGCAAACAGCAAAGGCACTATACATGATTTTATTCATTCTTGCTTTGTAGAGGACGGACAAGACTATCAGACGGCAAGAAACGAGTCAGCGCAGAGCTCTCGGGCAGGTGCACACTCCCAGTAATCTCAGCAGTCGCAGTCACTTGCAGCAGCAGCAGCCAGGCCGGTCGCCAGCGCATCAGCTATCACTGCACGACGTGGTGGGGTTCCTCAACAGCCGCGGTACGATGGCTGTAGCCAACGCCGCTGGGTATCTTTAGCATGCATCGTGTACCAATCACCATGTCAAAACTCAACTGAGGTGAGGAGCAAAGCAGACAATCACAGCATAGAATGAAGGCTGACTCCCTCCCATTGGGAGAGCCTATATGGTAGCAATGCAAGTTTTTTTAATTTTGATGTTTACTTGAAACATCAGAGAAGTACCGCATCATTGTCAATTAGAGACTGTAAATCTACAAGTAAGCTGGAGGTTTGTTCCAACTTTCAGTTGGCCAAGAAACTATCTAGTATTCTACTGCTGCTGCTGCTGCTGCTCCCCGTGCTGTTGTTGTTGTTGTTGTTCTTGCTGCTGCTGCTACAATTTCTGCTGCTGCTGCTGCTGTTCCTGCTGCTGCTGCTATTTCTGCTGCTTCCCCTGTTACTGCTTTCGTTCTTGCTGATTTTACTGTTACTTCTGCTGTTGCTCCTGTTGTTGCTGCTGCCTCTCCTGTTGCTGTTGCTGCTGCTGCTTAAAATTGAGAATTATCCACCAACGACATGCCAGCAATTGACCATTTTGTGAATGTGTGTGTCTTCTTCCTTGCAGGGATCTTGGTGCCATACCAGCCTTGGTCGGTCTCATTTTGCAGAGAGATGAAATGGTGCAGCACGCTGCCGTGGGTGTGCTAAGAAACATGTCCTACGGTCCTCACAGCGTCCTTAATACGGTATGAGTCACCTAGCTGTGGGGCCGTTCTTTTATAATGTGGTCAATGCTTGTTGAGCAAGTGCAGCGGTAACATGGAATTTAGAACCTTACTGTGGCGGCTAAATTTTGACTGCCATCAGGATCGAATGTCTAGAATATAGTTGGAGTTGTTTACGATTTCCCACAATAGGAATGCGTGTGGATTTGTAAAAGGAGGGGAGGGCATTTTTTACTTTAGGAAAATATTTAGAGTGTAAATCTGTCTTCTGTCTCCTCTTTGCCCACAGTATGCTGTTTGTGAAGCAGGAGGCGTAGAGGTCCTTGTGCGGCTGTTGCGCAATGCAAGGTCTTAAAATGTGAGTACGCCGGTAATACCTGTCACTGTATGTTTAGCAGCACAAGAGCTCTTCGGAAAATGGACACTTGCTATGCTGGCCCCTTGGTGGGGTACGTAAAAATCCACTCACACGACAATCACATTGTACATGGTGTATGCGTACGTGGTATACCATCACACTCCGCCTTAGTACACTGTATCCAACTTTCATGCTGAAAAAGAAGATAATGAGCTACTAGGGGACCAGGTGAGTTCTTGGCATTGTTGAATGTGTAGAAATAATTTGATCATGTTTTATTTTTTGATCATGACCAAGGAAATCCGAATAACACATACGCTCAACTACAAGATCACATGATCGCGTGTACACACCAGATCATGACAATACCAACACGTGCCTGTAGTATTCTTTATTTCTTCACCCCAAAACAACAAGAGTCCAGACTCAACTCAAGCACAACAACTAAAAGCCGCTACGTTCATTTCACACGCGCTCACTCGGGAAACGGCACATGCTCCATGCATAACATAACACGATGCACTACTATCATGAATGTCTGAGTGGCCAAGGAATACCACAATGTGTATGTAGACGTGAACACTACAGTGCCTGACATCTACAACATAGAAATGTATTAAATGGAATGCAAGTGTTCATGCTCATGTTATGTGGTAGTCTTCTTTGGTTGAAGTACGCTCGTGGCTGTTACACGTATTATTATGACCAGCTTGGTTCTCGCGCTACTTCACATGGTACACATGTAGGTCAGAATAAACCAGGGCTTGTGGTCCGAGTCAGAGTAATGTCCAAAGCAGACGTCAGTATTCTAGGCTGACTTTTATGCAAGAAGAGACAGAATTATAAACTGGTTGTTTTCTAAACACAATTGTATAGCCCGTGGTAACGCGGACATGCGAACTTGACTTGTTTAAGGATCGAATTTCATTGGCGTGTTTATTTGCGTTTTGTGTTTGAACTGTGTTTCTCCTTCAGCAATTGACATGTATGGTAAATGGCATGGGTATACAGGGCTCCTCTTCACGGAGCAACCACTTGTCTGTGTCATCTGCAAACGGTCCGATGGCCGGTAATACCCAGTCATTGCCGAACAGTCATACTAGTGATACACATGGCCCGACTCCAACCATCCCAGTCCAGCCGGTTGCCACAGATTTCCTGCCCGCATCCACGTCCACTCCGCACCCCAATGTCCGGCAAGAGAACGGCCCAATGCCAGGAGTTACGACGGGCCCACTGCCAGGAATTACGATAGGCTCGCTGCCAGGAGTTACGATAGGCCCGCTGCGATTGTCCCCGCCAATGTCGTGTCGCCCACTCATTTCGGCTTCAAAGGATCCACTACTCCGTCGCTTCAGGTAAACACCAGTGGATCAGTTTCATCTCTAGGTACGGATGTGTCGGCTAGTACGGCTTTGACTACAACCTCGGGTGCGAGGCAACCAGTGGCGGCTGCGGTGTCTTCTACAGCGCTATCTCTGCCACAGTCGCAGCAGGTTCTTGCTGATCTTTAGCATGCTATGTGTTGTGCGTGTGTGCGCGCGCGGACACGCAAACACAATGCCATGTGTTGTGCGTGCGTGTTGGGTTTGTGTGTGCGCGCGCACGCGCACAATGCCATGTGTTGTCCGGTGTGTGCGCGCGCATGCGCACAATGCCATGATGAGGGTGAGGGCAGTTTTGACAGTGGATTGAACTGTAAGTCCGACTGTGAATCGGACAGTGAGTCTGAAAGCTAAGGCTGGTGGACCGTACTATTGAAGTTTTTGAATTAATTTTGAATTGATTTGAATTTGAATTGTACTTTTCAACTCTGCAGCAAATGACAAATAATCTACTTCGCTATTATTTACAACATCTTCCATATCGCTCGTTTGCCAAGATCGGCTTATGATCGCTATCACTCTGCCGTTTTTGGGTATCCTTTGCTTCGCTCGTGCTAGGTCTCTTCCGCTGGTGTTGTCGAGATAGTGTCCCAATAAATGAAATCCTCTCATACGAAAGATCCGTGTTTGGGGGTAATTTTCATCAAATTTTACAACAAGTCAATCTGTGACATCTCTAATCACCATCAATAGGAAATGAACACTCGGCAAAGGGCAACCATGATCTGCAAATCATCCAAACACAAGAACAAAATCACATCGACCGCACCAATTTTCAATAAAATAATCGTATCACATGCTGACAATTTCAATCAATGAGTCGTAAAATAACGTAAAACAACGACTTACCTAACGAAATCTAAGATATTAATATTATTGGTTCTCCCCAACTAATGCCCTAGTTCTGGACATGCGCCGTTTCGACATCCCTAGGATCTAGGACATGGTCTTTCCACCCATGCAAAGCTCAGGTTGTCTGCTTGAGATTGAAACGGGACTTGCAAAACAGCGTCTTTTACTAGTTTTAGATTTGGGCCGCAGGACTATAGCATTGCTCATGACAAGCAAGGTCCCGGGTTAGAGTCCTGGTGGTTCCGTTGTTTTTTTTTCTCTTTTCAGGCAGGTCACTTCCCCGACTGATCCTTTGAATAGAGCATAATAATAATAAATTAATAATAATATTCACTGGTTTGAGGGAAAGACACAAACGGGAAAAGTCTGAAGAAAACATTGACTGTCACCACCAGGACTCGAACCAGGGACCCTCACTTGTGGCCAGCGATGCTCTACATGTAAGAAAAGAGCAAGCTGTTAGTGCAATACCATGCAGACTGCGAATAAGCAGCAGAAAATTTCAAGCATAAATCATGCAATTGATCATCAAAACTGAGTGTTTCCGTTCCAATTGGTTGCTAGCGGATATACATATGCATGTACTGTCCCCGGGGAAAATTGCGATTCCGCTGCCGCGTTTTTTGGGATTTTTTAAAAGACCGCGTTTTCCGCGATTTTTGAACTTTTTTGTTGCACAACACGTACACACCGTGCACTGTTCGGTCAGCAACGTCTCACTGTGGCGGCTTTTTACTCAAATATGACGAGTGCTTACACCAGAGACTTGTAACTGATTGATTTCACTACATACTCACTGAAAATTGCGGCACATCAATATTATTCACCGCATATTTACCGCAAATAATGCCATATTATGCCGCGTTTTTCCCCGCGTTTTTTTTGCGATTTTTCTCCGCAATTTTCCCCGGGGCAGAATGTAGAACTAATTGAACAGCAAGTGGAGAAGTAAGATGCAAAGAGCAAAGAGTTTGTGCCAATTTTGACAAAAACTCGTTTTAAAAGAGACAGACAGTCAGTGCAAACTGCAGGTACATGTATGCCTAGTATAGTACTCTGCCCACACTAACTATATCAGTACAATCATGTACAATAATGTACTTGTACATGTACACGACTTGGGCTCCAGTACATGCATATGATCTGTATTACACTGGCATGCATTATTACTGCATGCATTATTACTGCATTTCGGCATGAATAATATGCATGAATAATCATGATAATGCATTAATACATTTTCATCCAGATTGCGAAATGCATCCATAGGCGCCACACTTACGCTAGCACAAATCCAACGGCCCTACACTGCGGAGCACAGCACACAGCTTCAACGTCATAAAACTGAATGCAAATGCCAATGGAGCAGCAGCAGCTTCAGTAGGTCGTGGTAGGATACAGTCAAGGTCCGAGGACTGATTAGTATCGCTGATACTCAGCTGGGTCTATGACTGCACTTGTCCGACATCTGCATCACTCAGTGGTGCGGTAGGAGTCAGCCACCGCCATGAAACTCTCCAGCTTCTCCATCACAGTCAAGGTCCGAGGACTGATTACAGATTAGTATCGCTGATACTCAGCTGGGTCTATGACCGCACTTGTCCGACATCTGCATCACTCAGTGGTGCGGTAGGAGTCAGCAACCGCCATGAAACTCTCCAGCTTCTCCATCACATGGCTGATGTCATAGTCATCGTTTTCCACACTCCTCTTCAATACCCTCAGTTTGCTCTTAATCTCAATCACGAACCTTTCCAGTGAAGAAAGGTTGCATCCGACTAAGCCTTTTCGGAGATCTTTTCCGCGCTGCTGCTCAAGTTCGACTTCTTTCAGACGTTCATCGCACCCCTGTTTAGTGCGTCTGTAGCTGTACCTGTACGAGGCTTCCCACATAGCTCCCAAAGCCGATGTGCCAGACACCAGAGCTGCGATGAATTGCATGGTTGCCAGGCTGATGTTCAGATTTTGCCCTATGTTTGTCAGTGCCACCGCGACAGCAGGGAATGCGGCTGGTGCAGCCACGAATGCTAGGCCAACAAAAAGAGCTACTAGTCCCAGCCCTGCGGGCCACCTCCATTCTTCATATTCCGCATTAGCAGCCATGTTCCTGTCTAGCTCCTGTATGACCACCCGCTCTCCCAAGCCCTTCTTTGCTTCTCTGTTGGCCTTCTTCGACTCGGTTAGAGCTTCTTGGACGTCGTCCACGCAAACCTCGATGCATCTGCAGTACTCCAGAAGCGGGTGGTCTCTTTTAAGCGACTGCCTTCCACTCGTCGGCAAATCGTTGACGAGTTCTCTAAGTTTCTCGGGAGTGAGTCTGGATATCTCCGCCAACAATTCCTTTCCATCAGCCTGAGCAGCGGATGATTCGGCCATGGCTCGTTTCGACAAGTCTTCGGCTACAGCCTGTAGTTTTCCACAGTGCTCGTTCGCACTGGAAAAGGACTTGATTTGCTCACGAATGACGGTGTCTAATAGTTTTTTTTCTGTTCTCGCTCGCTCCAGCCCACTTTCCCGAGTTCATTGAGAACGATGGGAATAAGGTGCTCAAATAACTTCTTGCCCAGACACTCTACTAAATTCTTTTCATTGACCATTGCCGGCTCTTACTTCGTTTGAGCTTTCTACGCTCACTGATTAAGGGGAAGTCCGGTGAAAAATTTAAATTTCAGGGTCGGTAGAGTTTCGGCCGCTGAGTCGAATGGTGTTGGTCCCACGTGTCTCCGACAAAGCGTTCTCGAGATATTTCCGTTTGAAAAACTGAGTTTCGGGGGCTGCGCCATGACGTCATGCGGCCGCGCCACACCCTCTGCAACGTCATAGCGTGCAGCTAGGTCAAAAGGAGTGCGTGAAAGCAATAGTGTCAGTGCTATTTCAAATGATTTGGCGACTGATATTAGGTGGTGCAAGCGACCCCGAAGACATGTAACTCCTTGTGAGAGTGAGGATGCAGCCATGGCTGACCTTCATGAGTTCGGTCTGGGGCTGAGAACCTCGGTAGTCAGCTGAAGGAATGGCCGCGCGGGCTTGGAAGACCAAGGGCAAGGATTATCATGATTATGGACAGGTACATAAGTAAGTTACAGTTGTACACGTGTACTTGCTCTGTCCGTTGACGTTGTCCTTGTACGAAACACGCGCCAAGTTTGTGAGCCAATGAACGCAGTGGATTCCGTTCCTGCCCGTAGTCAAGTGACGACGGCCAGTACTAAGTAGAACGCGAAGGACTAAAGCCAGTAAAGGGACCGTCACTTAATTTTTGCCGACTACCCGCCAAAAAAATCTTTTCGTTTCACGTGTCGACATGTCAGACACGTCCGCGAGCGCGTAGGTCTACGACTCGCTACCTTTCACGTCATGTACGTCAAGCAATCTAGATTCTGTTCACGCCACATGGCTGGATAGCACGTACATGCAAACATGATTGAAGACTTGCAAAATCAATTTTTACAAGTCCAGGCGCTAGGCCTATACTAGGCAGTACTATTACTACGGTAATGCCTAATGCAGTAATGCCTAATGGCAGCTTACTTTATTTTCGGAGAAACACTACTCATTGAGTAAAAAGTAACAATGAATAGCGATATTTTGCGATGTAAAATAAAACTTCAAACAAACAAACAAATATCATCTAGGAAGGATCGCTACCCTAACGCGAAGGTAAGGGCCTTGCGCGGCTGCTCTACGAAGTGTTGAAGAAAGACTCAAAGTTAATTGGTGGACGAACAACTCGCTGGTGCCGGAAAACTTGGCCCCCAACGATGGTGTTTGGTGAATCATCAAGCATAATGTCTTGTAGCAGTGTTCACCGAGGAAGGAGAACGCTCTAGCCGCTGCTGTTGTCCGTTTCATCCACGTTGGGCGTTAGCTGCACCGCGCCTATTGTGTTTTAGTATTCCATGGACACACATTAGCATTCAGAGCGATTGTGGAGCCACAATTTACTTCACACAGCGTTGTATTGTCCACGAGCGCAAACTTCATTATCAGCAGTAACTGTTACTCTTCATCCTACGTGTAGATATGGAGTATACACGGCCTTGTCACGACAGCGACAGCTCTACAGAGTGTTCAAGTGAGAAACATTAATTTCAGTTGTTGGTGCACGAACAAATCGCTGGTTCCGAAAACGCTGCCTGCACCGATGGTGTTCGGTGGATCATCAAACAGGGTGAGCAGCAGTGTTCACCGAGGAAGGAGAATGCACTCGCCACCACTGTCGTCCGATTCATCCAAGTGGGCGTTAGCAGCGCCGCGCCTATTGTGTTTTAGTATTCCATGGACGCACACTAGCGTTCTCAGCGATTGTGGAGCCACAACGTATCTTCATGCGGCGTTGCACTGTCCAAGAGCAGAAACGTCAGCAGTGACCCATCATCATACATGTAGATTTGGAGTATACACACCATGCGCCAATGGGCCTTGGCACAACAGCGGCAGCTCTACGAGTGGTGCAAGTGAGAAACAATTGTCTCGACTGTTGGTGGACGAACAAATCGTCGGTGCCAAAAACGCGGCCTGCGCCGATGGTGTTTGAAACATTGTGTTTTAGTATTCCATGGACGCACACTGGCGTTCTCAGCGATTGTGGAGCCACAACTTATCTTCACGCAGCGTTGCACTGTCGCACTGTCCAAGAGCACAAACGTCAGCAGTGACCCATCATCACACATGTAGACTTGGAGTATGAACACCATGCGCCAATGGGCCTTGGCACAACAGCGGCAGCTCTACGGAATGTTCAAGTGAGAAACATTTGTT